TGATAGACGATAGATGATAGATGAATAGAGATAGATAGATAGATAGATGAATAGATAGATAGATAGATAGATAGATAGATGAATAGAGATAGATAGATAGATAGATAGATGAATAGAGATAGATAGATAGATAGATAGATGAATAGAGATAGATAGATAGATAGATAGATAGATAGATAGATAGATAGATAGATAGATGAATAGAGATAGATAGATAGATAGATAGATAGATAGATAGATGAATAGAGATAGATAGATAGATAGATGAATAGAGATAGATAGATAGATAGATAGATGAATAGAGATAGATAGATGATAGATAGATGAATAGAGATAGATGATAGATAGATGAATAGAGATAGATAGATAGATAGATAGATATTTCCTGTGAGCGGTATGCTTGTGTTATTTGTGGAGATAAAACATCATTGGGCGAGATGTCCAAATTTCAGGAAATAAAACTCCATAACTTCTCCTCTGGCTAACTTCTAGTTCCTGAAACACGAGGACGAGAGCTTTTTCCTCACAGACGTTTACTCACAAGGCATTCATTTGACTTGACCTCTGCAAATGTGTTAAATACATGAGTGAACTTGGTCTAAATCCCATTGAAACTATAATCTTCCATAAAAAAATATTGCATGTATTTTTGCCTTGAAGCTCTTGTGTCATGAACTTAACTTTTATTTTGGCTCTTCAGAGATGTTAAAAGGTGAAAATGTGCATATGCTTTGGATTTTTTTCTTCCAAAATATTTTAAGAAGATTGCTCACTTTTCTTGCCACCCCCCTTCCAGGGTCGCCAAATTCGTACAGGGCAGCTGGCAGCCATCAAGATCATGGATGTCACAGAGGTAACACACACACACACACACACACACACACACACACACACACACACACACACACACACACACACACACACACACACACACACACACAAACTAAAATATACGTGCCCACGTACCCGTGCACAGAAAAAAAAATTGAAGCAATTACACCACAGTCAAGCATGTAATCTAATTAAGAATGATGAGTCAATGCTGGTGCACTGTTAACCCACATTTTCTTTTACATAATAAGTCAAGCTGATCCTCAGATTGAGGAGGAGCAATGTGGTTTTCGTCCCAGCCGTGGAACTGTGGACCAGCTCTATACCCTTGCAAGGGTGATGGAGGGGGCATGGGAGTTTGCCCAACCAATCCACATGTGTTTTGTGGATTTGGAGAAGGCTTATGACCGTGTCCCCAGGGGCACCCTGTGGGGGACGCTCCAGGAGTATGGGGTGGGTGGCTTTCTATTAAGGGCCATTCAGTCCCTTTACCAGAGGAGCGTGAGTTTGGTCCGCATAGCTGTTAGTAAGTCAGACCTGTTCCCGATGAGAGTTGGACTCCACCAGGGCTGCCCTTTGTCACCGGTTCTGTTCATTACCTTTATGGACAGAATTTCTAGGCGCAGCCGTGGTGTGGAGTGTGTCGAGTTTGGTGGCAGGAGAATCTCGTCTCTGCTTTTTGCGGATGATGTGGTCCTCCTAGCTTCATCCAGCTCTGACCTTCAGCTCTTGCTGGGTAGGTTCGCGGCCGAGTGTGAAGCGGCTGGGATGAGGATCAGCACTTCCAAATCTGAGACCATGGTTCTCGACCGGAAGAGGGTGGCTTGCCAACTCTGGGTCGGGGGAGAGGTCCTACCTCAAGTGGAGGAGTTTAAGTATCTCAGGGTCTTGTTCACGAGTGAGGGTAGGAGGGATCGGGAGATCAACAGGCGGATTTGTTCGGTGTCTGCAGTGATGTGGACGCTGAGCCGATCTGTCATGGTGAAGAGGGAGCTGAGCCAGAAAGCCAGGCTCTCGATTTACCGGTTGATCTACGTCCCAATCCTCACCTATGGTCATGAGCTTTGGGTAATGACCGAAAGAACGAGATCGCGGTTACAAGCAGCCGAAATGAGTTTCCTCCGTAGGGTGGCCGGGCTCAGCCTTAGAGATAGGGTGAGGAGCTCAGACATTCGGGAGGGACTCTGAGTAGAACTGCTGCTCCTGCGGATCGAAAGGAGTCAGTTGAGGTGGTTTGGGCATCTGGTCAGGCTGCCTCCTGGACGCCTCCCTGGGGAGGTGTTTCGGGCATGTCCTGCCGGCAGGAGGCCCCCGGGTCGACCCCGGACACGTTGGAGTGGTTACATCTCCAATCTGGTCCGGGAACGCCTTGGGGTCGTGCCGGAGGAACTGGTGGAGGTGGCCGGGGTGAGGACGGTCTGGAGCTCCCTAGTTGGGATGCTGCCCCCGCGACCCGGATAAGCGGAGGAAGAAGATGAGATGACGACGACGATAATAAGTCAAGCTATTACTACTTCTCTTTTCATAATTTTACAAAAGGCGGGACCATTATTAAACAAAATAGGAATTCTAAACTAATTACAACGAGTGTTTGCTTCACTAATGGTTCTGAGCGGAGACAACTCACATTTACATGCTTTTACCGGTTCTGGAGGTGGAGCTTGCCCAAATTCAAGAGCGTCTTTCGACCAATGAAGAGGGGGAATCGGCATCAGACAGATTGACCAACAGTTTATTAATGTATGGTAAGTGCAAGCATTTGATTCCGTTATCATAGTTGTTCTACTCGCTGGGTAAAATATTGTTTTCCTCGTGCTTTTAGTGCGTGCAGCGAATTTAGTCCTGCCGCCGGTAGCCGCTAACGGCTAATACTTAGCGGTAGCAATTTGTAATGTTAGCTCTCTTGTTACCTTCACAATAATTTCCTACATGTGTTAATATTTTCGTAACTTCGATAGTGAACTTATTAACCAAGTGCTGCTGGTTCTGGAGCGTTGTACGGATCCTTTGGTCATTAATTTTGCTTGGTAAGTTAGCTAGCTGTGTTAGCTAGTACAAATGTAACAAAAAAAAGCTTTGAAAACGTGGCAAAAATATGACCAAATTGACTAAACCGCGATGAGGAAAAAAAGGAATAAGCTTAAATGAGTTTTGTAGGTCTTCAGTTTCAAATTTGGTGTTACACTGTGGTCTAGAGGCTGTAAACTCTTTAGGTAAATGAGCTGGTTTGGTGCCGCAGCAGCGGACATCCCATTGCGTCAGTTTTACGCAGCATTAGGATCTGCAGTCAGAAAGGAGAAAAACCCCTTTTCGTACATAAGTGATGAAAAAGGGCACTTTTAGCCTCAGGGGTTTGATGTAGAGGGTGGCTGACCAAGCGTTTGTTTTTGACACGTTGGGACTGAGAATGTGTTGGTAAACTCCAACCTAGAACCTTTTAGTTTAGGGTAAAACTGGAGAAAATGTGCTCGGTTTAGGTGGAGATTCAGAGGTTAAATTCTTCTTAGTTCTTTCTGTTTTTGTAAGCCCAGATGCTAAAGACGTTATAACCTACACTGAGTAATTTTTCTGTAATTTCTTTAGCAAATTGTATCATACTGTACTAAAATAGTGCTTCTTTTCTTTTCTTTGTCTTAGGTTGGAATTAAACACTAAACCATATTTTCTGTTTTACAGGTGGCTACTTCAACATGCTGTGGAGCTGTAAATATTGTGAGTTCAACTGTCGCTTTGGACAAAGCATCCGCTAAATACATAAACATAAACAAACTGTGGTAAGAGGGGTCACTTGCTCAGACACTACAGACTGAAACATGGCAGCTATACTGGAACAGTTCCTTTTTCATGTTTGTACAGAGATTGTCTCTGCACATTTAATTCAACCAATTCACTAAACACTCATCTGTCAAGAATCCACAAGGAATGTGCTTCCCAACCCCAAGATTGTATATGATTTTCATGTCAGCTTTGTGATTTTGTGGCAACCTGCACAGATGATGAGTTTTTCAAACTCCTTCGAAGTACACATCTAAAAGTTCATCACAAAGTTATTTGTCCATTTATTGGATGTGATTTTGAAAGTAATATGTATTCAACATTCAATGCCCACAAAAGCAGAGACCATAAAGACCATAACTGGAGGATGTTGAAGGCTGAGATTGTTTCCAGTAATACAAATGATGAAGACAAAGCTGACAGTATATTGAATGATGCAACTGCTGAGGATTTTGAGGATGATGGGGATCCCAGTGATCTTCATAATGATCTGGAGAAACAGCTTGGAGAATTTGGCCCTGCTCCTTTTAAAAATGGAAACTAGCCTACATATTCCCCAGCGATCAATACAAGAAGTCATTGAACAACTTGTACAGATGAATGCATGGTCAGAACCACTGTTACACAAGTCTGTAAAGGACATTTTAAAACGGCACATGGTAGACAACAGTGTCATGCTAGGCCAGTTGGTGACTGCAGTTGCAAACACTAATGCCATAGAAAAATTTTGTGGGAAAGGTGGTTCTCTATTTACAAAAAAGAGCAGAGAAATGTATCTGAATAGAACTTTTCCTGTTGTGCAGCCAGTGGAGTTCATCGTTGACAGATTTAAAAAAGACAGTGCTGTATATGTGCCTCTAAATGCAATGCTTCAAACAATGTTGAGCAAGACTGCTATTATCAACGAGGCTTTTGAAGTACCAGAGTCACTACCTCATAAGTACTTAACCTTGACCAACGCTGTGTTTATGTGCAGTGATGACTGCAATGGTCCCTTATTAAATGATATAAGTATGTGTAAACAAGCAAGTAATTTAAAGTTTTCTGATTTCAGTGAAATAGGGACAGAATAGACCAAGTGGCCTCAAATAGTCCTTACGCCAATATTGATTTTAAAATGTTTAATGTTAGAACATTTAAGTTGGTTGACCAAATGGTAGCATAAATTGCTACAGCTAATGGCTGTCTGTTGTAGTTCAGTAATTTTATTAATTAATATTTATATTTATGGCAATTTTTTTTTATCTTTAGGATGGTGATGAGTCCTTTGGTCAAATGGACGTTGGAATTGTGTTGGTGAATCCTGAAGGTGTCTCTCCCCCAACATCAGATCTTCACCCAGCAAGCCTGAAAATAGTCATTGAGAGTGAAATTGTTGTGGAAAAGGTGACAACCTTGCCAGAAGCTATGTGTCTCCTTTTCGGGCTCACATGTGAACTCCACCTAAACAACCCAAAGAAAATCAAAAATACCCTTCTGTTCATTCAACATGTATTTTTTGCTTTGGGAAGCACTGAGCTGAAGCCAAGAATTCAAACACTGAAAAATCAACTACTTGTGTAAAAAAAAAATTCCAGATGCTCTATTTTTGTTTAGGTGGAAAAAAAGTTTTGTTTTTAGCTTATGGTTTGTACTGTTGAAGTTCAGCAAAGGCCACATTTAAACACAAAATTCATAACAATGTTCTGGAGGCCGGTGAAATTTACAGGCTGACAAACATTCCAGTTCATTACTACGTTTAACGACTACTGTATGCCACTGTGCTATATTTTTATTTTTTTGAAGGATTTCAAGTTTAAGCATTCTGTACAAGGTAGCGATGCTCATTGTTATTGTGCAATTTATCAGTTTACCTTCAAAGCACTTAGCTTGTGTTGTAACCAGATTAATGATGTAAATATGAAATAACTTTGCACAATGTTTTAAAATTTCCAAAGAGAATTTTTATAAATCCATTTAAAGGGTTAAATGCAGAATTGTTTAGACAAAGCACGTTACCGGCTTTATAACAAATGTTTAACATGGTGTTTAAAATGTTGCAGTAGCACAATTGTTTTCAATAAAGTTTTGGAAAATAATTACTTATTGTCAATTATTGTGTACTTTTCGAAAAATAAAAGATTGATTACAATATATATTTAATAATTCTAACTATTATACTCCAAAATAAATACTAATAAACATGAGTAATAGTTACAGATATAAACGAGAAATGATTACATATATAAACGAGTAATGGTTAGGAACATTAGTTTCAAAACCTTGAGTTTTTTTAGTAATGGATTCTCTTGGACACAAGACTTTAGGTAAACGGAGTTTGATTTTTTTAGTTTTTGATTTTGTAAAAACTAGACATCCCAGTGCAATCACTTACCATAAGCAGCTTTAGTAATGATTACTAATTTGGGTTTACAGTGTGTGTGTATGTGTGTGTGATGTGGAGAAGAGGAAATGAGGTCTATCGTCATGGTAATGTTAGCTGGAGGTATCGGGACAGCAGTGTGGTATCTAACTGGGGGTGGGGTGCATCTCAGCTATATTTAGAGATCCTCACACCCCTTTCCTCCATGCAGTCACTTAGGTGCAAGCAAAACAGCATCAAACCTCAACACCAACAGAACCATAAGTATACAAAGACAACGATGATGAACAAATGCAATAAATGTATTACTTTTTGAATATAAAAAAAATCAAATCAGTGGTTTACTGATAGAAAAAACGGGAAAAAAATTATGAATGTAAAAAGCTGCAGAAATGGAGATTTTCTAAAATAAATCAATGCTTAATTTAAATTTTTACTCTCCTGGTATTTTAGACATTGCACTAATCAGCTAAAACTGTTGTAGAGAATCTGCACATGAGCTAGGTGTTGAACGAATACATGAAACCGAAACGGAAACCCGGAGTGTGTGTAAGGAATGACGGACCCAGGGAAGTGCGGCGATTTGCCAAGACCAACAACCAGATGGTCCAATAGTTGCTTCCAGTAGCACTTTAGTTTAGGGAACACAAATTAACCATTAATTAGCTGCCGATTAATATGCATATTAGTGGACTACTAAGTCTGAACTAGTCGTTATTAATCACTTATCAACAGCTTATTCCTAATGCAGTAATTCTAACATTAACAGGCCATACATTAAGAGTTTTATCAAAATAAGTCATTCATAATGGTTTGTTAACTGTAAGTAAATAGTTTGTTGCTGATAACGTCGCTAATAGCGTTGCTGATGGTTTTACCAATAAATTTATATCTATACTATATTAGAACGTCGTTAAGAGGCATGAAAACGTTTTTTAAGCTAATTTACTTTCCAAATTTTCTGTTGCAGCTCTAGCAGCTTTTGGCTTGTTTTTGTTTTTGCAGAAACCCCCGTCAGTTAAAGTAAACAAAAAGTTGATTTGTTTCTGAGAATAATTTAAAACCCATCTGTGTGTTCTCAATGTAAATACATTTAATTGAAACATTTGATTAATAAGAAATAAAGATTGTGTTTTAACATTTCTGTTCTGCTTTCACCAGAACGAGGAAGACGAGCTTAAATCAGAAATCAGCATGCTGCAGAAGTACAGCCACCACAAGAACATCGCCAGCTACTTTGGAGTGTTCATCAAGAAAACCTCACCTGGCATGGATGACCAGCTTTGGGTATAAGATCATTTCTGTGTTTTTCAGTATGTGGATAATGGATGAAATTGACTTTTTGACTGTAACCTGGAAAATACTAGATAAAAAGCATCACTAAGTAAAAATCTGCAGGGTTGGCTGTAGATCCACATCCATGGGAATATAACACATAATATAAAAGATCTGGATCAGCTGTGCTGCTGCTGCAATACCTCACGTACAAGTATGATCTAAAGGAGTCCTCTTAGGCTGATCTCATTCATCTCTCTACAACAAAATGGACACACAAATGCGTTTATACACACAACCTGCTACATTTCCCCTGACTTGACAGCTGCTATGTTTTGTCCGTTATCACTCAGAACTGTGATTTTTACTCGTGCTCCTTTCTATTTATACACACACTCCAACGAGCATATTTATTTTTATGTCTGTGTGCACAATCGCAGCCTGGGTGAGAAGAGTTTGGCTGGTTTTCTGCCAGCTTTTCCTTTCATCAAGAGGGTTGAAGCTGAGCCAGAACTGACCAGCTGAACCTTTGTGCACCATTCTTAATGGACGCCCTGCTGAGAGAAGAAGAGGGATGGGATGGGAGAAGGGGGACATGTTTGTGCACTTTTCCTATTTTAAACAAGTGGAGTAATGCAGTATACTAACCGGGCCTTGCTTTTAGGACAACAACTGACATAAACTAGGGGTTAGGATTACTTTTGAAGTAATCATACTCATGATAGTTGGGTTGTGGAGCAGCCTCAGTTTGGAGAAACAGTGTTTTTATTTTACAGGATCGATGTGCCACCAGCTTGTTCAAAGGCGAATTACTGCAACTTAAAGCAGATTCAATCTTCTAAATGTCACAGCATCATGCTAACATTCTTCGATAATAAAACAGATCTAACTATTTAAACTTTGTTGGCAGTTTACACAAACAACCTTGCATAAACTCACCTGCTGCTGCTATTTTCACTTGTAATGTCACGTGCAGAACTCAGAAGACCCGTGGTGACGCCAAACACAGTAAAAAGTAGATAAGTCTTTATTTGATGTGGAGTTACCAGAGGAGGGCGAGGCTGGAGACAGAGTCGGAGAGGAGGCGAGGGTCAAAACCAGATCGGACAAGCTGGTACAGGGAACAGGCTGGAGATGAGGTAGCAGACAGGCGAGGGTCGTGGTGTCAGGCAGAGTTCAAGGCACGGGTAAGGCAAGAAAACGAGGTCCGGAGGCTGAGATGAGGCAGGGTGAATGGCTGGAAGATTTGCTAGCAAATGGCGTTCAATAATCTGGCAGTGAATGGCTGGATGGCTGGTTCTTATGTAGCAGGGGAAGCAGGTGAGTGTGATGAGCTGAGGAGTCGGGAACAGGTGAGGTGGATGAAGCTGATTGTGGTTGCCAGGGAAACAGGGCTTGGCAGGAGCTTGATGAGGGGACCAGGTGTACAGCATGAAGGCTGAAAGATTGGGAGTCATGACATGTAAATAGATTCCCATGTGCATAATAACCATGTGACGGTTTACAACATTGTGGAGTGGTTTACAACAGAAATTATGATGCAGAACGGCTTTATGGCACAAACCAAACTGCCAAAACATGGACGAGGAGCAAAAAGGCTACTTGATTACAGTATTTGTAACTTTAAAGTACTATTCATCTCGAAAAGATCTAATAAATAGCATACTTACCTATTTTTAATGAAATAGTCTCATAGAACACGATGGCAAGTCTGATCACGTATAAACAAAAGAGTCCCTCTCCACTTTCTGTTCTCATGTCCCACGTGATGTTGTGACTATCTTGCGATTTTCCAAGAAGCGCTCAGCATTGTAGCGAGTCTTGTGCGACCATTTGACTTCACAAAACTGCGGCGCTTCCGTAGCGTGGCACATCTGTCTTCTGTGTGCCCCAGGCTTTAGAGTGATTTTAGATGCAAATGAGACCTATTAGCATAATAAAAGAAATATGTTACTGTTTGGATCAAGTTACAGATTTGTTTCAGTTACAGCAATGCAACAATGAGACACTTCATTAAGTTTTATATCATTTACTTAAAACATTAAATGACAATCAGCAACCACAACGGTCTGTTACGAAACATTTAAGTGTATTCCTTTATGCATCTATGTGATTATGATAAATTTGTCTTTGTTTATAAAAAGCTCTCTGGTGGGGAAGCAGCCTGAGTTGGTGTGTGAGGTTGAAAGGTTCTGACTAGATATAGTCGGACTCACCTCAACGCATGGCTCTGGTCCTGGAACCAGTTTCCTTGAGAGGGGTTGGACTTTCTGCCACTCTGGAGTTGCTCTGACAGAACTTCCAAAATGTTCTGGGGGAGGCGGGGGACATTGAGTCTGAATGGACCCTCTTCCATGCCTCCATTGTTGAGGCAGCCGACCGGAGCTGTGGTCGCAGGATCGTTGGTGCTTGTCGTGGTGGCAACCCCCGAACCCACTGGTGGACACCGGCGGTTAGGGACGCTGTCAAGCTGAAGAAAGAGTCCCATCAGGTCTTTTTGGCCTGTGGGACTCCAGAGGCAGCTGATGGGTACCGGCAGTCCAAGCGGAACGCGGCTCGGGTGGTCGCCAAGGCGAAAACCCGGGCATGGGAGGAGTTTGGTTAGACCATGAAGCAAGACTTCCATACAGCTTCGAGGAGATTCTGGTCCACCATCTGGCGCTTCAGGGGGGAGCAGTGCGCTACCAACCCTATCTATAGTGGGGACGGTGTGCTGCTGACCTCTACTCAGGACATTGTGGATTGGTCGGCAGAATACGTTGAAGGCCTCCTCAATCATACCGACACGTCTTCTAGTGAGGAAGCAGAGTCTGGGGACTTTGGGTTGGTCTCTCAAATCTCTGGTGCTGAGGTTACTGAGGTGGTTAAAAAGCTCCTCTGTGGCAAGGCTCCAGGGGTGGATGAGATCCGCCCGGATTTCCTTAAGGCTCTGAATGTTGTGGGGCTGTGTTGGCTGACGTGGCTCTGCAATATCGCATGGACATTGGGGGCAGTCCCACTGGACTGGCAGACGGGGGTGGTGGTCCCCTTATTTAAAAAAGGAGACCGCAGGGTGTGTTCCAACTACAGGGGGATCACACTCCTGAGCCTTCCTGGTAAGGTCTATTCAGGGGTTCTGGAGAGGAGGGTCCATCGGATTGTTGAACCTCAGATTCAGAAGGAGCAATGTGGTTTTCGTCCTGGCCGTAGACCACTGGACCAGCTCTATACCCTTAGGGGGGGTCCTGGAGGGTGCGTGGGAATTTGCCCAACCAGTCTACATGTGTTTTGTGGATTTGGAGAAGGTGTTTGACCGCGTCCCTCGGGATGCCCTGTTAGGGGTACTCCGGGAGTATGAGGTACCAGGCCCTCTGATATGGCCTGTTAGGTCCCTGTATGACTGGTGTCAGAGCTTGGTCCGCATTCCCGGCAGTAAGTCGGGCTCGTTCCCAGTGAGAGTTGGACTCTGCCAAGGCTGCCCTTTGTCACCGATTCTGTTCATAATCTTTATGGACAGGATTTCTAGGCGCAGCCAAGGTGTGGAGGGCATCTGTTTTGGTGGCCTGAGGATCAGGTCTCTGCTTTTTGCGGATGATGTGGTCCTGTTGGCTTCATCAGAACGTGATCTTCAGCTTTCGCTGGAGCGGTTCGCAGCCGAGTGTGAAGCAGCTGGGATGAAATTCAGCTCCTCTAAATCTGAGACCATGGTCTTGATTCAAAAAAGGGTAGAAGGCCTTCTCCGTGTCAGGGATGAGGTCCTGCCCCAAGTGGAGGAGTTTAAGCATCTCGGGGTCTTGTTCACGAGTGAGGGAAAACTGGAGCATGAGATCGATAGGCGGATTGGTGCTGCATCTGCAGTGATGCGGGCGTTGTACCGGTCTGTCGTGGTGAAGAGAGCTGAGTCAGAAGGCGAAGCTCTCGATTTACCGGTCAATCTACGTTCCTACCCTCACCTATGGTCATGAGCTTTGGGTAGTGACCGAAAGAATGAGGTCGCGGATACAAGCGGCCGAAATGAGTTTTCTCTGAAGAGTGGCTGGGCTATCCCCTAGAGATAGGGTGAGAAGCTCGGTCATTCGGGAGAGGCTCGGAGTAGACCCGCTGCTCCTCCACACCGAGAGGAGCCAGTTGAGGTGGCTTGGGCATCTGGTCAGGATGCCTCCTGGACGCCTCCCTGGTGAGGTTTTCTGGGCACGTCCAACCGGGAGGAGACCTAAAGGTCGACCCAGGACACGGTGGAGGGACTATGTCTCTCACCTGGCCAGGGAACGCCTTGGGATTCCCCCGGAGGAGCTGACCCAAGTGGCTGGGGAGAGGGAAGTCTGGGTCTCTCATCTTAGGCTACTGCCCCTGCGACCCGACTCCGGATAAGCGGATGAAAATGAATGGATGGATGGATGGGTTTATAAGAAGCATACTCTTAAATTAGCACAAACCCTTAAAAACAAATGTTGCATTTATGGCCCTGAAGCCTGGTCCACACTGTGGGCATCAGCGGAACGTTGCTGCTTCAAATAGAATCCATTATTGTTTATAGGGTTTGTTATGGTCACCAGCCTGGCCTCTTCAGGTACAGGAGCCAGGATCGCCCAGCCCAGATGATCAGCCAGACACCACCCCTCCTCCTCCTCTCCTTCAGGCTGCTGAGGAGCACAGCTGAGATGAATCTCTGATGATACCAGTGGCGGTTCTACATGGAATTACTCCCCGGGCGAGGCCCCCTTTGAGCCCCCCCAGGTTGAGCCAGCTTAGTGAGCTGCCCCTGAAACATAGTTGACCTTAGGTATAACTTGATCATGTTTTGAAAAGCTCCTCTCAGCTTGAGCCACAGTGACTGGCAGAGCAGTTCAAAAGTTGGGGTAGATCTCCAATAGATGTTTATCATGATCCATAATATTTTAGAATTGTCTCTGAAATTGTAATTTAAACTGACTTTTTACTTTTGAAACTATGTACCGCTTGGATCACATCACTTTGGCTTACACTGCTCAAAAACATTGTATTAATATTTTTATTTATTTCATGGTTATTATCAACTTCTGGCAGCTTTTTAGCTAGATTAGGGCTAACATTCACAAAATATTTATTAAACTCATTTGCAATGTTCTTTCCATTTTTTATTGTGAATATCTATACCTGCTTCTTTTGTATTTCTTATTAATTTATTTAACACATTCCATGTATCCTTAATATTATTTTTGTGTTTTAGGAAAAGCTGATCATAATATTCCTTTTTTTGCTTCCTTATTATTGTAGTTAATTTGTTTTTATATTCCTTAAACATTTTTTCTTTTTCCTTTGTTGGATTTTTTTTGTAAAATCCAGATACAGTGATTTCTTTTTCTGGCAAGCCCTTTCCAATCCCCTAACAATCCAGGGTGGGGACCTTTTTTTTGTTTTACTTATGATATTTTAGAGGACAATGTTTATCATAAGCTCCCAAAAATATTTCAAGAAATGCATTATAAGAATTATTAACATCATCAACATAAACATCAGTCCAATCAGAGCAAAACAGTTCATATTTCAGAGCTTCAATTGCAACAGGAGTTTTTTTTTCTAGTTGTGGTAAAATTTACATTTTCCAGTGATGTTTCATCACTTCTCATCATTTCCACCACAGTAAACACCGGAAATGATCAGTAATATCAGTTAAAAAAAGGCCATTCTTTGTCTTGATGTCAAATTGATTTATGAATATATTGTCAATCAGTGTAATACTATCGGCTGTTATCTTGCTTGGTCTCAATATCAACGGAAAGTAACCTAAACTAAACATTAAATTTCACACAATTTAGAAAAACTTGAAAGAATGATAGGCCTGTGTTTATGATATTATGAATGAAATGTGCGTTAAATGGAAGAACATCAAGATGTGATTGACTTTAGCCATGTTAATACAGCTGATTCAGCCCCTGCCCGCTCATTTCATTTGGGAAAGACCCAGAGGTGAATTCCCCCGCCGCACCCCTCCTCTTCCTGTTCTTCATACACACACGGTGCACCCATCGACATAAGGGTGCACCTGAACCCTCTCAGTCAGGAGGAGTGCCTGCAGCTGCAGGGGGCGCCAACTTGCTGTTTCCAATCCAGACTCTGTGATATGACTGATAGAATAGAAAACCTCGGTGCGGCGCAGATTTCTTTCTTTTTTATTTTTTACTCAGCGCTTGTGCGCCCCTTTTGTGTCATGAAAAAATGCCGCCCCGGGCAACTGCCTTGTCTGCCCGTGCCTAAAACCGCTGCTGGACGATACACACCTGGGATAAAAAGGCTGTAACTTCAGCAGTCTGGGAAGCAGCAGTGCTGAGCTTCTGCTGTCCTCCAGGCCTCAGATTGGTTTCAACCCCTTCATTTTGATGAGTTTTTCCTTTAATAGTTTTAAACTTTGAGTTGATGAGTTTTAAAAAGCTTAAAGCTCTGAGTGATCCAGAGGGATCGTTTTAAAGATTAACTTGGTGATGCAATTTTATTGACTCTGGTTTTAAACACCTTCTGTTTGGTAAAACTTTTAACATAAGTTTTAACCAGGTGTTTTTAATGTTGGTATTTGGTCTTTTACTGGTAACCTTTTTGAGAGTTTTTTATTTTTTGGCATTATTTTAATAATGCTCTCCATCTGTTTGCTCACTTGTTTTAAAACCTTTTATAGCACTTAACCCCATTTTTAATCCACTGTAGTGTTTCTTATGTTACCCCCTTCCTTCACATTTTACCAACACATGTCGGGGTTGTAACAGGGTTGATCAAAACTGGCCGTGGTGTGGAACATTTAAGGTGCATGCCAGAAACAGCTTGCTGTGCCGCTAAAGATAGGTTTGGGTTCCATTTTTGCCGCGAGCTGCTTCTTTGACATGTCAATTTACGCAGTTAACATGAGATAGATAGGAAATCAAACACCGTTTCAGTGTAAAACATTTGGTAATTTAGAAAATGGAGAGGGATTTGATTTATTTTTTATGTAGATTATGTCAAAGCATGTGGCCTAATGGCTTATTTACTCCAAGCCTCTTTTGATAAGTTCAATGTTGTGCTTTTAAGGCACAACATTACATGGCATCAAACGGTGATATCAAATATGATCTTTTTCTTGGTTTATTGGTGGATGGCATAAACAAACCCTGACCTTTGGGTTTTTGAGGTGTTATGTGATCTTGTGAGTCCAGCGAGGACTCCACAGCTGAGACTGGATTGACGCACCACGAAGCACACGAGTAAACTGTCCCACTGCAGCTTTGTGCCGCTGATGCCCCGTGTGGACCCGACGTAAAGATTGCAGAAGTGCAACATCAACACTCAGCAACATTCTCAGCATGAAAGCAGTGATCTATGAGATGTTTACACTCTATTCTTCAGAATATCTCTGTGACGAAAGCACACCATGCTCATTTTTTGCATGCCATTATTACAACGTGAGGAAACCCACACAGTAAAGTGGAAAACATGCAAATTCAAACAGCTCTAACTACCACATCACTATGCAGATCAGCACAGTATGTATTGGTCTGTGAGAACAATCTGCAAATGAGCAATGTTTGCTTTAATTATTCGAATGACTAAAATATATAGGAACAAAGAAAATTGTTTGTTTGTGTGCAGCTGGTCATGGAATTCTGTGGAGCTGGCTCGGTGACAGACTTGATAAAGAACACGAAGGGAAACGGTCTGAAGGAGGACTGGGCCGCTTACATCTGCAGAGAGATTGCCAAGGTAAGCTCTGTTCACCCATGTCTAGAGATGGCTGTGGATGAAAATCAGCATTTTCTGAAGTACTCACACTAGCCAAGGATGCTTCCTTAATCCCTTTTTTCATCCTAACTATGTCTTTCCTTCACAGCTTATCTCTATGTGTGTCTGCAGGGTCTAGCTCATCTCCACCAGCACAAGGTCATCCACAGAGACATCAAGGGACAGAACGTCCTGCTGACTGAGAATGCTGAGGTCAAATTAGGTCAGCTTGGCATCAAACCCCCATTTAACAAAGTGGCTTTAAGGACTGGGTGGTCAGAAAGAAGGTTTAAAGTCTCCCCCCTGGCTCACACCAGCCTACTCATCTCTTTGTAGCTCTGCCACTGTTCCCAGGGCAGGCCTTTTCCCTTTAAAGCCCAATCAAAAGGGGATTATAGCGTTTCTGTGGTTGGAACTCCGACAATCTAAATGAAGTTATAGTCTTTTAAAATTTCCAGTAAATGAACTTGTTCACATGTTTGTTTTTTTAGTGGATTTTGGCGTTTCGGCCCAAATGGACAAAACTGTTGGAAAGAGGAACACATTTATTGGGACACCATATTGGATGGCACCAGAGGTTATTGCTTGTGAGGACAACCCTAAAGCCACATATGGCTGCAAGGTAATTTGTTATTCAGACACACACAGCTTACTTTTTCCTCCCAATCTCCCAGCTGAGAATGTATTCATCTTGTCCTACAGAGTGATTTATGGTCGCTAGGAATCACAGCAATAGAGATGGCCGAAGGAGCGCCACGTATGTACCCAGTCAATATGCTACGTCTCTGTTTCACATTGTTTCCTTGGTGCATCAGTTCATCACAAGTTAGATCATTGTTCACTTCTAGGCAGCTGCAGCACAAAAACATAAAAATGTCAACAAAGAAACAGGACAAAAATATTTGTTCTCAAGTTGCTGATTGGCTTCTTGCCAGTTAGTCAATATTTATAATCTTATTCACTGCAGTGCTCAAACATAGATGACCAGAATTGTTTTTATTCTGGCACAATACAGATGCAGCCTATGGTGAAGGGCTATTAAAGCTGCAGCAGATAATTGATCAAGTAGATTACCGGTGCCCCCGAGAGCCGCCACTTTCCTCCAAAACACCTGATTTGAATCGATGACTAATTTGCAGACTTCTGCAGAAGTCAAGGACTTGTTGAATAATTAATGTATTCATTATATCTGGTGTATTGATGGAAGGGAACAATTAGAACATGCAAAATGCATTGCAGGATTGAAGATAGTCAGGGTGGAGCACCATACGGTTGAATCAAAACTGAACATGAATGGATGTTGACTCAGTAATCACACCAATAGGAATGCGTTCCAATAAAAGTTGGAGTTTTGCTTTGGGGCTGTGCAGGGGCAGACTGGCCATCTGTGAGTTCCCAGAATGGCCGGTGTAGGGCCAGTAGGTGTGCCTCAGGGCGGTGTTGGCATTCCTACCCCCACCTCCACCACCCAACCCCTCAGAGATCTGAAAATGTTTCCCCCAGCACTGAAAGTCAGACAGATGGAGATATTCTAGGGCTCAATTTTTGTTCCAGTCTGCTCCTGGAGGTGAATGCAAGTACCCTGTACACACCGCTTTACTTACCCTTTAACACTAGTCACTAATCTAATATTGTTCAGTCAAGGGGGTTGGGGGGGCATGTACAACATATTGATGTGTTTGAATCATCAACATCTGGTGCTCCCCATTGAAAAAATGGTGAATGCCCCTGAATATTATACAGTTCAGCACCTGAACATCCTCCTGCACCTGCTCTGTATCGGAGTGGGGAACATGTCTTTGCTCCAACACTTCTGATTCAGTGGTTGATTCACCTGTTCTGCAGCTCATCAAGCTCTGCAGAAGCCCGTTAATCACCTGCTGATTGAAACAGGTGATGATGCAGGGTTGAAACTAAAATATGTTGGATACTGGCCCTCGATGGACCAGGGTTCCCCACCCCTGCTGTACCTACCCCCATCAGTACCAGACTGTATTATGTTTAGAAACCATTATAGGTTTAGAACTGGGGAGTTGTGGCCATTGTTGCTCATCGTTTAATTTCTGACTCTAGCTTTGTGTGACCTGCATCCGATGAGAGCCCTTTTCCTCATCCCACGCAATCCTCCCCCTAGACTTGGATCAAAGGCAAAATGGTGAGTGTGTGTGTGTGTTGGTGTGTGTGTGTCAATAATGTCATAAGTTCAATGTTTGATGATAATTCCAAGAAGCGTATAGTAAACACATGAAATAGCTTCTGTGTATGACATGAGCTATATTAATAAAGTTGCTTAGCCTTGGCTAGTATGGGACATTTTTCCTTTTTCAGGACAAAGAAGTTCCACGCATTCATAGAGTGTGTACTGGTGAAGGACCATGAGCAGCGATACAGCACGGATCAGCTCCTCATGCATCCATTCCTGCTCATTCCCAATGAGAGGCAAATCGTCAACCAGCTGAAAGACCACATTGACCGCAATAAGAAGAAGAGAGGAGATAAGGGTGAGGGAGAACTTGTAGACATGTCAAGCCATGAATGTATACAGGCACGTGCCTTTAAACGTGCAGCAGATGCTACTCCTGTCCCTGAGACCAGTTCTGCTGGACAGATTGTGACAAAGTGGGCTGACATTTAGAGGAGATCTGGGTTTGCAGAAAATCTGTGACCAACAAGAAATCAGTTGAAACACAATTACAGCTAAATGAAAAAGTACTGAAATACTTTAGTGACACAAAAGCTGCTATCATTTAAAGGACTAGTTCAGCCATTATGAAGCATGCTTTGTGCTAAAGCTGTAAATGAATACTATTACATCCATTGTTCTATAGTACATTTACCACACACACAGCCTGCTTGAAGAAGTAGAGTTTAATAACCAAACCACTGAAATCAAGTGTTCTAAAGACAACGGCCATTTTTTGGTGTGTAGGAATGTGACGTCAACAGGCCTACTTGTCCAACACAGTGTTTTCTCACAAAAGTTAAATATGTTATAGCTGTAAAGAATGGGCCAGCACCATTTTAAATCCTATACGAGAATAGGATGTCACTAAATATACACAGATGTGTACATTTTTGTTCTGATGTATTTGCTAATGCTGTGCATCACAAGCAGCAGTAAAATGTATCTCTTCAGGTGCATCAGAGGCTTCTTAATGTTTCTGCCAAAGTTCAAAGGAGTAAATCAGGTATCTTTAGTCTAGAGTGCGTTGAATGGCATTAGCTGTTAGCTCGTTCTTTAGGACATAAACATTATTTCTTCAAACTGAGGCGAACCAGGAAGCTATGTACATTGGTGTCATAGTAATGACTTATTACTTTTGTGCTTAAACACAATGCAAAATTGTAAAAAGGCCCCTTTAACATAAACCTATTTGAATCTGGTCAAAAATAATCATTGTACAAAACCTCCTGATCAAACTTTGATTGTAGGATCCTTCTAACACTATTCGTTCAAAAATCTCAGCGTAAAACACCAAGATAGAAGAAGATGGATGTCTGCAGACATGACTACCAGAGATGATCTTCATAAATGGCACCATGAAAGCTTGTGGAAACCCCCCAAAATGGCCGACGTGTCATTGCAAAGCATGTTACTGAAACCACACAAGACTGTTTTTGTTTTTAAAAGAGAAAAGCACAAGAAACGTTCCACAGTGAGGACAACACACACATCCTCACCCACATGCTGTCACGTTTACGCTCATCAGCGAGGCAGGAGCTGAAAGTGACAGCCTTGTATGAAACGCCACTCTGACACAAACGCACACTATAGAGTGAGACTGTTGTTCACCACACAGGACGGCGCCAGTAAGAACCACGGTAACCACTTCAAGAATCCAAAGAAGGGAATTTCATGGTAATAAAGAGAAACATCCCATCATTTAAGAGACTGTAACTTTTTCCAGTTGACACTTTGTCATATTCAGAGGGACTAGTATGTGTGTGGATCAGTCTCAGAGAAAGCTGGGCGGTTTTTACCACCATTTTGCTGCTAACCCTCCGGAGGCAGGCGTTGCAGATTTGCAACGTTAAAACCTACCTACCTGGCTACTCCGCATACGTATTTCATGAGCATTTTTTAACTCAGAAGTACCCCTGAAGGCCTTCGTTGTTCGTCCCTTTATCAAAACTTAATTTGAGCCTGAGAGGATTAACCCTGTTGGACTGAAAGAGCTCTCAAGCTAATGTTCTTCACCTCAGTACACACAGTAAAATGGCAATTTATACTCTTATTCAATGAGGCTGCCTTGAACAAAGGACGAACAGAAGGGTTTCAGTTGTAACATTTATGACGTGAAACAAACAGGATTTTCTCTAATGGTTTTTTTCTCATCCCCACTTTTGTTTTTGTTTATTTTCTCTTCTTCCCATAAGATGATACAGAATATGTATACAGCGGCAGCGAAGAGGAAGAGGAAGATGTGGGTGATTCGAGGTCAGTTTCTTAAACACTGATGATTCTTTGCAAATTTAGTACATATTTGAAATTTAGGGCATTTTTGATTTGTCAAATGAACTGTTTTCCCCAGCTGCAATGCCTCTGAGGACTCAACGCTGAGACGAAAATTCCTACGCCTCCAGGTGTCCAACAACGATCCAAAACCTTCACATGTACTTAAGCAGCAGCAGCCCAATGAGGAGCACAAGCGCATGCTGTTGGCTGACAAACAGAAACGCATCGAGGCCCAGCGGGAGCAAAGGAGGCTGCAAGAAGAGGTGAGGGACTTACCACTTGCTGCTCACTCCCATTTGATAAGCATGTTGTGTTATGTCTTGAATGTTACAAAGCCTTGTCATTTTTTGGAGGAAAAGCATGTGTGGGACAAAGAAATACATTCATGTACAGCTCTTTCCCCAGTCTTCATCGTTTTTCCAGAAAGCAAGCTTACAGAAAGAAAGCCTTAAACACTCATTTAACCGATACATTTGCAGTGGTCTCTATTAGAAATAAATGCAGGGTATCCGCGGGTCCGTAAAAAGTCTTAAAAAGTCTTAAATTTGCTTTTCCAAATTTAAGGCCTTAAAAATTCTTAAAAATGACAAATAATCCTTAAATACAGTTTCCAAAGGTCTTAAATTACCAAAGACCCAATAAACAAGATTATTTTATTTCTATAACATTTTTGTGAATTCGTGAAAATTTTGTGAAAAGTTAGTGTGCAGCATTTTTGTGAATGATATTGGCATAAGTGGAACCGTACACATTCAGTTGGTTGTGAAAGGGGGCTATTTTTAATTTTAGATGAGCACATTAGCTGGTTAAGCTAGTGGGACCATGCGCCATGGGGAAGCGCAAGTTTAATGGTAACTGGATAGCTAATCCCACATTCGCGACGTGGTTAGCACCGGTTCCAGGCAATAGCTGGAAATGATAGCTTAAATTTAATTTAACAAAATAGCTTGAATTTGGACAAAGTGGCCTCAAGAAAGGTCTTTAAAATTCTTATATTTGGCTCCCTTAAACCTGCAGTTACCCTGTAAATGGCTTGTAAGTCATGCTCTCGGAGAAACAAAGCTCTGGTGCACCATTTTTAGAAACTAAAAGTGAGCCACATCAGAGTTGAGCTTCAGATTAAGGTTGAGCGATGGGACGAATTAATCGAACATCGGCGAGGGGCTGAGCCGTTACGGTTGTGTTTTACAGAAGGTGATTTGTTTATTTGTTTGTTATTGACAAATATTTCACACACTACGCACAGAGAACTTCGCGGAGGTAACAATCAAGAAAAGATCTCCATCAGCGTATCTGAGCCCTTTCTCACCTCCTCCGCCTCTGGCTGCTGACAGTGCACGTGCAAGCAGCACGCTGAGGAGGGGTTTGGAGAGCGTCTGCGACACACTCGACATCGTGCACTAAAGCGCAGCGTTGAGTGGAAAGTGGAAACCCTTCTATCTTTCAGAGTCTGGAAGACTTCTGGTTATTTCATTTGGAGAAATGTTTCCTGATTTAAAACTTTGAAGAAGCGCTCGTCATTATTCAGCACTTGCTTCGAGTGTGTCAGCAGAGCACGTATCCATCCAGAATATTATTTAAACAGCCATGAGTCTGTCTGAGGCAAAAGTCTAGAAGCTCATAACCTCTTCAGCAAGCTCCCTAGAGACATTTGATTACACACAAGCTGCAGGTGACCAGTTCAGGTTTACGCGGCGCAGGAGGAATGCGCGTTCGAGCCGCAGCAGGTGAAATGTTCCTAATCTAAGTGAAATTGATAATTTGCATTGTTCGTGTTACTGGAGCATTCTGATCAGCTTGGTTGGACTAAATATTAATTAAAATGAATGGAAATTTAACAAATGATTATTCATAATTTAAAAAATGAAAGTGACTGGGATAAATGGATCATGTGACCTCTGGCAGCGAGCTGCCTCCTCGGAGTGCGTCCAAACGAAGCAGCGATTCATTCCATCCCTCTACTTATAAAAGAAAGAACCCCAGAAGTTTTTGTACAGAAAAACATTTTGCTTAAATAAAATACCTCAACAGTGGGAACCAGAGGGAAACAAAGACGAGGCTTCTTTTTAATATTTTAACCATGTTTAATACGGGCCCTTTATACGTCACTCTACCAAACTACAAATACAAAATTAAACAAAGAAAAATATAAATTTCTCTTCCAGCAAACATGTGTGCTGCATTTGTTTTAAAAAAAATCAATGTTTTGGGCTTCTTCTGTGTTCACAAATCAGTCCGTGCGTCATAACGTCACATGCAAGAATAAATCGTCCATCATCTTTTTTTGGACTGACTATTGGCGGTGGGAAAAATGATACAAATCGCCCAACCCTACTTCAGATGACAGGATTATCTGCCTTATATTAGTCTTATTTCCTGAAATTTAGACATCTCACCTTAGATTGGCTAACAGCAACACACCTCTACCACTGAATCAGTTTCCTCTGAAACGTCGACGTTTTATCACCGCAAATAACTGAAACCTGAAGGAATTCTGCTGTGTGGTGCAGTTGCTAATGCTAATGGTTAGCTTCTACTAGCTCAGATGTTCCGTGCTTTTTCCTGGACTCTAAACCAACAACGGCCTTCCCCGCCATGAGCCAAGATGAGTGAGTACATGAACAATAAGTGACAGTGTGACGTAGATCTGTCAGGCTTTTCAAATCCTAGCGTTTCTCCATCAATTTTCTATCAGACGCAAATGCAGGAGACAGGTGTAGGAGACTATTTTCATGTTCAGCCTGCATGTGACCTCAGAGTGACTGAATATAATCATAAATAAGATAAAAATGCCACACCTTCAACTCATAATCTTTGTGCTTCCTTTGGGTTCTCACGAGGGATTTTCTTCCCATTGCACAGCCAAGAACCATGAATTGCCTACTGACATTACCTCAACACTCAAGGCCAAGTGTGTGTGAACCTTAGAGTGTGCAGAGAATAAAAGTCTAATTTTTAAACTTTTGTGAAAAGCACTGTCACAATTTCTCCTGAGGAGTCACTTCCAAAATAAAGATGTTAAAAAAGCTAAATTTTAAAATAGTCTTTTAATTGAATGGGCTTTGGTTTTCTTGTCAACAGAAACAGAAAAAGCAACAGTGGCTGCAGCTGCAGCAGCAACAGCTACAGCAGCAGCAGCAGCGGCAGCTGCATCATCAGCACCAGCAGCTGCAGCAGCAGCAACAGCTACAGCAGCAGCAGCAACAGCTACAGCAGCAGCAACAGCAGCTGCAGCAGCAGCAACAGCAGCAGCAGCAACAGCGGCAGCGGCAGCTGCAGCATCATCAGCAGCAGCAGCAACAGCAGCAGCAGCTGCATCATCATCATCAGCAGCAGCAGCTGCAGCGGCAGCGACAGATGGAGCAGGAGTTGCAGAGGAAGGAGGAGTACGAGGGGCCCATAAAGGATTGGAAACGAAACGCGCACCATGACATAATTCGGCAGGAGCAGAAGAACATGCTGAAGAACATGTTGCCAGAGGAGCGTCTGGAGTGGCTACAGCAGGTTAACATCATTAATTATATTTAACTCTTCATGCAATATGATTCAGAAATAAAATCCCTCATTTGTCTTTAGAATCTTCTTGTTTCTGTGAGGATCAAAATTCGTATTCTGTCTACAAGAGTCACTTGTCAGGACTTTTGAAATGATCTACAAACCCAGAACATAATCGTGCTGTTTAATCATTTCCATTTGATTATTTTATACTATTTTTAAACTCAAGCACATCTCGGACTTTGTCCAACTGTTTCGCATGCGTACATCAGGACAAATTCATGTGAAAATCAGGCATTATCTGAACCAACTGTTAGGCGAACATAAGGACACATAGCCGTGACCATACACCAGAGGTGTGGACTTGAGTCAAAGGACTTGGGCTCGAGTCAGACTCGTCATTATTTTAATGACTTCTGGCTTGACCTGATAAAATCCATAAAGACTTACGACTTGACTCGGACTTGAATGCTAATTACTTGCAACTTGAATCGACTTGCATCTGTTGACTTGATGACTTGAGCGTATTTGATATTTTAGCAGAAAAGTGACACAGCATGGAGAAAAATCAGAAATTATTCTTGGTTTTGGGTGTGATCTCGCACGGCTAAATGCAGCAGCACTTTGTTTATAATCAGTTTCAGTTGCACTTTCTGCTTGTTTGAGCAAATAAATGAAGCTTTAAGAAGCGTTATTTCTGGAATTTATTTATTATCATTGTCATTAAATTGAAGTTGGGCAGATGACTTGATAATGACTTGAAAATTCAAAGGTAAGGACTTGGACTTGACTTGGACTTCCACATCATTGACTTTCGACTCGACTTGGACTTGGTTGTCTTTGACTTGGACTTGACTGGAAAGACTTGTGACTTGTGACTAGCAAAGGAGTGACTTGGTCACACCTCTGCCATACATCATATGCAAGGAGTGAACAAACTAATTGTGGTTTGATAAAAATATTTTAAAGTCCCGCAGAAAAAAGAAAGGAAGAATCTTTAAGCATTTTGAATGAACATGTGTGATTAAAATTAGTAAGGCAGATTTAAGGATACTGAAAATAATATTTGAATTTTGGTATTTCACCAATGAGTGTTTGTTTAATGGATAGAGCTTGAGCATTGTCACCCATAAAGCACTGAACTGAAGCCCTGTGGGTGGTTCCCACCACCACCACCATCTTAGCCATGCCATGCAATTCGTCACCCCAGGAAAATACAAAATCGGTTCTGATACCGGGGCTATGAGGGTGAGGGCAAATGAATGACACCCATCAAACTTTAAGCCAATGTAGCTACGAGCTAACTGAGCTAACCAAAGCTAACAGAGGTTGGTGGGTGCTTTTAGCCAGAAAACCCCAATTGAGTGACTTTGTTACTTTCTGCCTACCAGGCTGTAACACTTTTTAATGTGAGGCCACTAGCATTAGCATTGATGGCCTATCTGCTGCCTGTCAATTAAAAGGACACGCCCCTAATTATTGACAGTTTCAAGCTGTATGGTTTCATGTCAGTTCTATTTCTATATGCCACAGCAGCCGTGCAGCAGTCTACACACTGTGTAGGCTACGTCACGGCGTACCGTGATGGCTGATACAAATTCAGATGTAGTGCAGAAGATGAACTTGTAACACCAATGGCAGTTTTAGGCAGAACATTTAAATTTTGAACAAGAGGTAAAGGTTTTTCTGACTAACTGTATTTGGGGGTTACTTGCTGTTTAAAGTGACAGGGCTCTGAAACCGCTCACTCTGGAAGGTAATGAAACCGTCAATGCCTGGTGAGATCGCTTCATGTCAGGGATTATGCAAAGAACATAATGAACATGTTTTATATAGACCATAAAACTATTATTCCTCGTTTTAAAAAGTAACATGTGCCCTTGTATTCAAACATAGTCCTGCAATTATTTCCCCAAATTTATTCTTGAGTTTGAACATATTTATTTATATCTGTCTTGACTTTGTATTTCTAAAATGGTTGCTCTTGTCCTCTCAGGGAATGCAAACAGCTGTCTCACTTGTACTTTGATCTTACTGTTTTGTAAAGATATCCTGCAGCATCTCGTTGGTTTTAATTTCCCCCCATATTTTTCTCTCCTAGTGTTGTTACAAGTTTCGCTTTATCTGTGTTCGTGGTCTTATCGCTTCTCTTTCACAGCTGCATCACTCAATTTTCTTCTCCATTTCTCAGTCTGTCTGCATTTGTTTTTCCCAGATTTTTGCCTTTTCTCTTGAACTCTTTCTCTCTCCTTGTGCTGACATGCTGCTCAGGATTATATCCGTAGACAGCTGGAAGAGGAACAGAGGCAGTTAGAGATTCTTCAACAGCAGCTACTACAAGAACAGGCGTTATTGCTGGTAACCACATGCCCTTCGTTTATGCTGTATGGTCCCCATCCTCACTGCATGCACCTGAGGGAAGAATGAAAAACTGAAGAACTGGCTGTAAGAGTCAGGTTGTTTACTGTTAATTTGTGGAGGACTGAAAAACATGAAGCTGATGCTCTAAATTAATTTTAATCACCGATTGCATGTTTAATGGTAGGAAACTGGTCAGATTGTAGAAGATTCCACAAAAGGCACAAAGAAAATGGGACACTGTTGTCTTCCGCAGGTCCCCAGTCTTGTTCAGTGTAATGTCTGTGTTATATGATTAATGTAACTGCAGAAAGTAATATTTCATCATCCCTTCCATGGACTTAGATGAGCCATCTGAGGCAGCTGCAGACTGCAAAAACAAAAGAGCTAGACATCCTCCACAATAACTATAAATACTAGAACCTTGACCTTTACCATGCTGTCACTGTTTGTAACTTGATACGGTTGGATTTTGGGCTTCTATCCCTTCTATGCTCAGCCTAATTTTTCCCCTTTTCATAATCATAAACTAAAGTTTTATTTTTTGGTTCTCTTCTATATTTATTTTAATTACTTATAGATAGTTTGTGTTAATGAGCTCTATTTGCTAGTGTCCAATTAAACAGCCCGGACAACAAATCAGTCCAAACAATAAATTCAGCCTCAATTATTACAAGCGTTGGCTGGTTCGTTCTCCTGCACCGATTAATTGTACTGACCAAATTACCACTTGAGACGATTTACTGGCTCAGTAAAAACGCTAGCTTAAGCCTGGTTCACCCAGCAGGATAATCTTGCAAATTTTGACCAGCCCTGCTCCCTTCAATCCTTAGGTTGAGCCCAATTTTTGAAACAACTTAGAAAAAATCTTATCAGACAATCCTACTGTGTGTGGTGTGTTACAAGCACTCTGGTCTGCTCACAAGGATGTTGGGACAGCTTTTATCATAAATCTGGGCTTTCAAACATGTTGGATTGTCTTGGTTTGACTTTATGGGCACAAATGAACTTGCTGCCTGTTGAATGTGACATGTAGCCACTCCGAAAGTGAGGTGACAGAAGCATGCAGCACACTCCTCCAACGCCATGATTATTTATTTTTAAATCTTGTTTTATCTCTGTCTGAGTGGGAAATGTCAGAATCAGAATCAACTTTATTGTCACTGAACCATGCAGCATCTTGGTACAACAAACTCTGACTTCACAGCACAACCCAGTCAAGAAGATAGACATGAACACAAAGACAGAAAAAGTTCAGGCAGGCTATGAGAGCAGCCGCTTCAGGGCACTCCTTTGCTGATGGGAAAAGATAAGAGAAATGATTTTATAGAGAGATGAATCAAACCTAGGGCCCAAAATGCCTCTGATGATAAATAAGCCAGTCAATTGTTGACACTTTTATGAGATTTTGTGACAGACCATGCCTGTGCATATCTAGCCACAACTAGTCATGCAAATGAAGTTGCAGCGCCATTTTGGTCTTCAATGCAACAAGAATGTGCTTCTTTATTTAAAATAAAGTTAGCATTGCATGTTGGAAAATCATTGCTCAAATTTTCAAAACTCAGCATCAGCCAATGAAAGACTTTTGAGAACATCTGCCTGCAGCATCTGGGTCATGCATTGTTTTGGCAACCCAAACAACTGACTAGACTGGTAGAGTTTAGTGGTTGCATAACAAAAACTAGAATTAGTATTTAAATCAAATCGAGTCATCTTTTAAAGCCATTTTACTTTATGTTCAAGACATAGAGGAGAGGCAATGATGTTTCTCTCTACTTTTCATTGTGCAGATAAAGTCTATACATGTTCAAAGAAAAACATACATCTAAGTTTAAAAAAATCAATAGAATAAACATAAGAACATGTAAAGTGAAAATATGTCCCATACCCATTGAACTGCATATGTTCACTCGTTATTTCTCTCATTCTATTCTTTCATCACTCTGTCCTTTAACACCAGCCAACAGTATCTATCTTTATTAACTGTCTTTATTTTCCCCGTTCCTTTTCCAGCAATACAAGAAAAAACAAATTGAAGAGCAACGCCAGGCTGATCGTTTAAAGAGGCAGATCAACCAGGAGCAAGCCTTCCTAGCATCATTAAATCAGCAGAGCAGGCAAATGGAGAAACCAAGTTTGACTGTCAATGAAGCCTCTAAAGTTCCTAACTGGGTAAGTTAAGGACAGGATTTTCAATGCAACATATTCTGTCCCACACGTTCGGACTGAAAATTTGTTGGTTGGGGGCCCAGGCGAGGGGGAGGTTCCAACTAGCCAGAGGGTTAAGGGTTATGATTGGGGGCGCGTGGAAGGTTAGAAACAGCAAGGGGGTTAAGGTTTGGATGCAGTGAAATTGCAAACGGCAGACATAACATCACATCACTCTGATGCCACATTGGGATTTGCAGTCGGAAAACCCCCTTTTTGTACAACGGTGACGAAAAAGGCCACTTTTTGTCTGACGCAGAAAATGACTGACCAAGCATTTGTTTCCAACACGTTGGGAGTGAGAATGTGTTGTCCAAAGTCATGAAATCTCAGTGTTTCACGTCAAAAGTTGTTTGTTTTTGAGAATTGTTTAGTGAACATGTACGTGTCAAAATAATCACACATGACAGGTTTAACTGGTGAAGTTTTTCCGTGATTTAGAATTTTCCCAACAGGTTTGGTTATTTTTACCAGTCTAAAGCTGAAGGAGGCATTGGCAAGAGTTTTCAATTTGAGACTAATAAATGTTGTCTCCTTGGTAATAACTCAATGTTTTAGTTGTACTATGACTTACCATCCTTTCAATCTGATTCCTAGGTCAGTGGACGCATGTACCCCTCTGATATTCATAAGGTCCCCTCTCCTGAAAGAACCATACTTGTGAGACCTGAGCAGTCACCCTCTTCAAAGGTCCCAGAAAAGTGTGTTTCTGGAAAATTCCCAAATCAGCAAGTCAAAGACTGTGATAAGCCAAGACAGAGAGGTCGAAGCCCTACACGTAATCAGAAGGGAGCATTTTCGATCCCTCAAGTGAATGTGATTTCTTCAGCTAAAGATCCACACAAAATTCCCAGATCTCATTCTTCTGACCCAAGACAGATACAGATCCAGGCTCCCAATCCACCAGTCTTACGGGTTTGTCACCAGCCTACCTTTGCATCATCCTCACCCTGTATTATAACAGAATCTAACAACCAAAGTCGGATGAGATCTGCTTTCAGCCAAGAGAACATCAGGTGGCGCTCCGAGTCCGAGGGTAGTGACCAAAATGACCCCCTTTCTTTGTCCTTTTCTGGATTTGGTTCTAGATTATCCCCAGTACACAACCAGCCACAATCTTCTATCTTTAATGATGGTTTCCAGCTCTTGGACCCCTTCTTCCCACCCTCAGCAGCCTTGTCTAATCGGAGGCGTTCGTACTCACCCCCTTCTGTTGGGGAAAGTTTACTTGATTCCGCTAACTACAATGAGCAAAGCAACTGCCTCTCACCTTCTGATTCATATTTTCTAAATGTCCCTGGCTATTCTCTAAATGAACGAAGATCCTCTTTACCCCCTCCCACCACTAATCGTCTCTTGGTTCCCGGAGCTGTTGGGAGTTCTGAACCATTCACAAGTGACATATCTCGTAGCCGCTCCATGGAGAAGTTGCTAAGTTCCCCCCCACTTCCTTGGATCGATCATTCTAACAAATCTAAACATAAGTTCCACTTCCAGCTCCCCAAGATGACAAAGTCATGGTCCAGTAGCAACCTATCCTCTCCTGATGAAGAATCCGGGAAAAAAAGTCCTTTGGATAAAGTCTTGACTTACCTCAAGCCTTAACGTTCCCCACAAGCCCCACCCTTTGGATCCCAGAACAACATCTTGGAGTCTAAAGGAACAGAGTCTTAGATGATGCTCTGAGAAAATGTACATAAGAAATATTAACCCTTCCATCTTTGGGATCGAAGAAACCCATTCAATTGGCAGTAATTCTCTTTTACTGGTTGATAGGCTAAACTATTTTTTCATTCAAAATTCAAATTCCCTCTCCTCAATGTTTAGAACTTTTAATTACACATAATCCTCACAAACTATACATTTAGTGTAAATAATAGAGTGTATTTTAGGGATGTCCCGATCCAATCGCATGATCAGAAATCGGCCCGATCACGTGGTTTCAGACTGATGGGGACTCGGGCTTTACTTCCCGATCCAAGCCCCGATCCGGACTGGATACTGGGTTCAAATTACAGGAGAGCAACTTGGTTCTTAAAGGTTGTCAGGCTCCCCTGATGCCCTTAACTTGCACACCCAGAAGGAGCACAAAAGAGATCCAGTTTCTTCCTATATTATATTATTTACATGGACTCAGCATAGTTCTTTTGAGCAGAGATGCAGGCAGACCGCTGATTATTCATGAACTCCAGCTGTGTTCTGCACACGGCCACAGTAACATTTTCTAAGTTTCTAAGTGGCGTCACCAAAAAATATACAATTAACACACAGTTATTGGTGCCTGTTCATTTTCTCTCTGGTAAGTTCTGTCTATTTGAGCATGACGTGTGGACGCGCTCGCGCTGCCCCCGGTGCAGCGCTCGTTACTGGCGCAGCCGGACAGCGCACACTCCGATTTTATTGCGGTCAATAGATCAATTTGATCTGCTAGTTAAAAAGTTACTTGTGAGGTGAAAAAGAAGGAAGCGGGCAGGAGTTTTTCTGGAGGACTGGGAGATGCAGCAAGATCAGAGACAGACAGGACAGGAAGACAGGAAAATAAAAACTAAGAAAACAAAACAATTCTTAAAAAATAAAATGTAGGTAGACTGATCCCATACATGTTTGTGCCTGTATAAAGCAATAATTTATCAGAATGTAGTATTTATATAGTTGGTACAATTCAGATTATCTTCAAAACTCCGTCCCATGCCCAGGGACGTATCTAAGCTTTTTGGGGGCCGAGGCAAAATAGACCCCTGCCAAGTAATTTAAGTTGAAGTGCTATCTGTCTTTATATCTAATACCTAATATCCATACCTCTAATTTCCCTCTGGGATTAATAAAGTATTGATTGATTGATTGATTGATTGAGATTAGACTTTTTATATTTGCAATACAGTCCAAAAGTGAAGAACTTTTGTTATTTATTACTTGATTGTTCAAGCTACCTCACATAAGTGATCTGTTGTTAAAAATTAAAATAAAAAGGTAATAAAATAAAAAATAAGGAACATTCTGGAATTGTTTCTTCCTTTTCTTTCTTTTTTTATGTATCGAAAGTATCGGATCGGGACTCGGTATCGGCAGATTCTCAAAATCAAATGACTCCACTCGAGGGCAAAAAACCTGATCGGGACATCCCTAGTATTTATCCTTACTAGTAGTGTATACTTTATTTTATTATTACTTGTGTCTATTTGTATTTTTGTTGGGCTGAGATCCAAATGCATGGTGCTGATTTGTTTTAAGTGTAGCCTTATACGAGCTCAGTTTGTAAATAGCTTTTGATTAAAAACAAGTCAAACCTATAGTAACTTTCCCACCCTGCAAGTCCACTTTCATATTTATCACCCAATGTCCCATAATGCACCTTGGCCGGCCTATTCCAACTCACAAGGGCTTTGATGTCATCAGAAAATCCACCCAGCCCAGCATTTTTTAGGTCAGTCAAGCATTTGTCTAACTCCATGTTGGTGTGGGCTGAATGGTGGTGGACTTCATCCGTCAGAAGATGCCTCCGTCTGGTCTTCCTCTTGGTTTATCTGGTTTTATTGGGTAGATGGAATACTGACAGATAACTAACTCTCCAGTTTTTCCTTCATAGAAGAAAAAAGTTTTTGGGTAAACTAACAACCAACCTGAACATGTAAAATAAAAAATCTACCAGCACTAACCCCAATTTTTCTCATACTAGCAGCAGTTTCTTTCTTCTAGATCTGTTCATTCTAACTGTAATGCTCTACTTTTGCAGATCCTCAACTAAGATCACAAACAGTTCTATAATACCGTGTTTGTCAAATCCATCAGTACGATAGTGGCCTTTTGTGTGAACAACTGTTTGGAGATTTTTCCCATAGGTACTAAAAACATTCTGAGTTTACTTCCTTGTAGTTCATGTTCTAAAACCGGCTTGGAGAGTTTAACAGTTTTTATTGGCCTAGGTCATAAACTTGATCTCTTTCCTCCAAACTCACATAGTCACAAACATGTTCCATTTAGGAGAAAATTCACTACACAGGCATATTTACCTGTAATTTTAAAACCATGCTCTACTGAGCCATGACTCGGCCTTAAAAATAATGCTGAGTCGACTTGTTTACAGCGTTGGAGGGAGATTTCAGCAGATGGGAGCTTTCCTTGAAGCCCTCTCTTGCTGCACAGCAGATAATCTGATAATCAGATTACGCTATCAAGAAGAGTTTTCTGTGTTTTTCATCCAAATTGTTGTGCATCTGTGCATTTTCTCACATCTTTGTGGGAAAATGGACTTTAAGTCCTTATGTGCACAGTTTTAAATTCCAATTCCATTTTTTTTTCTGGTTTGAGTTTGAGGCCTGCCAAAAGAGATTAGGGATTAACTTTGACCTTTTTCCTAGAGCCACAGGACAATTTTACTTCTCATCTGCATGTGGGACACAATTAGAGGACAAAAGTAAAGATTTAGCTAATAGAGGTGGCACAACCCAACGGATGTGACAGAATCTCCATCATGTTGATAGTTTGGGTTTTATGTAATGTCGAAGAGTTTCTGCAAAAATTTGAATGAGCTTCAACCATCGACATTAATATTAGGCTTCAACCCACGAGGTATTTACAAGTTACAACAAGGCTTCAACTGACAGGCCTGTAGCTCAGAGGCATTTCGTTAAAAATAAGCTCATCCAGCTGACACCCTTCCTACTCATTTCACCGCAGAACTGAATGACCGTAAGGCTGTCTTGTGGCTCATGGTGCATGGGTGTAGTGACTGAGTGTCATGTCGTGAGCTGTGAGTGACAGCTGGTGTGTGGCTTGTTTCAGGTGGAAGACCGATCTAAGATGAACAGACAGAGCTCCCCAGCACTGCAGCACAGAGTGTCCCACCGTATCTCCGACCCCACCCTCCCTCCCTGTTCCGACTCCTTTAGCAGTGGAGCCATGCAGCCTGCCTGCACCCCTCCCATCCACCGCTCCATCGAACCACAGGTGTGTGTGAACGGGTGTGCTTGAGCAAAAGGAAGCATTTGATTTTTTTTTTTGTGTCCATTCTGTTCCGATGTTTCCATTTAAATTATAATACACCTTGCTGCTCTTTGTTTTCTTTGCAAGTCCAAGTTTCCACATAATTCAAGGATCTAATTAAGGACATTTTTGTCTTCTTCCTTTGTTTCTTGTTTTTAATCTTTCCTGGTCTTAATATTACTGCCTTTTTCCATGTAAATTTATTTCTTCCAAATGTATTCATTCATTTTCAACTCACATCTGTCATTTCCTTCTTTCTTTCAATCACCTCTTACTCAAATTGTACACCACCATTTTACCCATGACACCTTCTTTCACTCATTTCCTTCCACTTCTTCTCTCCCCTCCCCAGTTGGGCCATCTCATTCCGATGAAGACCCACTCCAATTCCTTGTCAGGCTCACAGTCTGTGCAGGACCAGAAGGGCTCAGTTCTAAATGAGGGTGTCAGTGTGTCCTCGTCAAAGCATGAGGTGCCTCGTCAAAACTCAGACCCCACCCTGGAAACCCCGGGACCCCCGCAGTGCATCACGGACAGGGAGGAGTGGGATCAAAACCGAACTGCTTGGCTTAGAGAAGATGATATACCACCCAAGGTTGGTACCTGATGATTAAACATCAATAATCTTTTTGCTTTTACTCTGTTTAATTGTAGTGATTCAGATCTACAGTTCAGGGCTTTGGGTTTTACCACATAGACTCTAGGTGTAGCATTAAAAAAAAAGGGGATTTAAGCTATTATAAGTATAATGCTTGGCCATTTCAAAATGTGTTTCTGTGTAAAAAAAAAAAAAATCTAAATATGGACACTAATAGCAGTAACACGTCCTGTTGGAATTTCCTAATATTTGTTCATTGATGGCTCTGCAAAGGTTTGCAAAACATTTAAATGAGCTGCCATGAATTCTTTGGTAGATTAAGCTATTTGAAGATTATATTAATGCACTTTGGAGAAGAGTCCATTCGGACGAGTCCCACATACAAAATAGAAAGCTTCAATGTCCAAAATTTCCCAACTGTTATTTCAGCAGATGTCTCAAAAAGCCTACATTTTGCTGATGATACAGGAGAAACCCAAAACATTTAAATGGGGTGCATAATGTAATTTATTTCAGTAATTCAACTAAAAAGGTAAAACTAATATATGCAAAGCCAGATATTTCTAGCCTTTATTTATTATAACTGTGATGGTTATGGCTTATAGCTTATAAAAATTTCAAATTCAAAATGTCAGACGATTAGAATATTGTGACGAGGGCCGTTTCTCAATAGGTTTATCAGTACTTGTGTACTCATGTCCTCGTGAAACGTCATCAACGATGGCCCAAGGACTGTTCCAATCCTAAGTATGCATCATGGCAAATTTTCTCAAAATCCCCGGATGTGTTCTTGCTCCACCCATTGTATCGAGGATGTATCAATGCATCCTTTTGCAGACTTGGGACAGCAGTTTCCTATAATGCATTGCGTCGCAAGTCATTATACTTCAAAACGCCAGAGGAGAAATCTAATAACTGTAGTTTTTATTTTTAATCAGAAATACTAATAAAGAAATGTTCAGTTGTCTGTTATTGTAAATAATTTAGTGTTACCTGTAAAATTTGCTGTGACCATTTGAGTTTTATTTTTCACGACCCCCTAAAAATGCTAATGAGCTAACCCACTTTCAAAATAAAAGCAGAGTAGCTCCATTTCGAAGAAAACTTTTTTTATTCATTTAACAGTGGGAAATGCTGGATTTGATCAATTTTGATCAAAGTGGACAATATATATTTAACTAATAATGTGCCTTCATTGTTATTTTGTTAATTAAAGAGACAATGCGTAGTTTTTACCATTAATTTCTGGAAATATCCATCAAAATGTTGTTGAAAATGAATGAAATGATGCCCAGTTGTTGAAAAATATTGGCAGCTTCATAACATATAACCATAAAAATCAGGTCTAAAATACATGGGAATGGGTCTAATAATAAGCAATGCCATATTAGACGCCATGTTTCCTTCTACGGGAGCCCTTGAGAACAAAATGCATTTGCTGATTTGTTGCGAACAGTTACAGATTTTGGGATTCTTAAGTGTTGTTTTACACATTTACCTCTTCACTTGTTGCCAGTGATGAAAGGGAGTCTGATGTGCTAGTTATTTTGCTAAAGTTTGCACTCCCCAGGGCTTTTTGACCCTAATGGGCATCCGTTGGTAAGGTCTTACTCCAACACAAAAATACTGCTTGCTTGCAACAATTTAGGTATCTACTGCCCCCTATCGCCAAGGAAAATACACACTGTCACTTTAAGGGACAAACTAGACTTTTATTTTTATATCAGGTCGTTTAACCGTAGATAGAAACAAGCAGCACCTGTTGCCATGACGCAACAGAGCATGGGTTCTGTTCCAAATGCCGTCCTCGTCCTTCCGTACACGGTAGAACAGACTTTCTGGTTTCCTTGCCAAGAACATACTTGTCTAGTACACAAGAATATACGAGCATCCTTGAGAGATAGATAGATAGATAGATAGATAGATAGATAGATAGATAGAACTTATAAGACACCATGCCATCAACATTTATAAATGATAAAAATAAATAATACATCATACAATTACTTATTTGAATAGGCGGGTCTGAGAAACGGCCAAGGTTCAATAATCTAGGCTCAAAGTGTCACATTCTAATCAGCTAATGAATCCAGAACACCTGAAAAGGGTTCTGAGCCTTTAGATGGTCTCAGTCTGAGCTGGACTTTTGCACCATTCAAATTTTTCCAGTTTCACCAGTATTTACACTTGTAAAAAAAACATGAAACTGTATTTTTTTTCTAAAGGTTTACAAAATAAACAACATCAACACACGTTGGCTGTGTTCAGATTAGCACTTTATTAGTCCTATAGGGTTTTACAGTCGCCAGGCCAAAGTGTGGTGTCAGTTCTTGGATCATTTAGTTCTGTGCAACACAGAAAAGGTCAATAAATGCTTCTTGTATTAAAAAATAATAAACGCTATTATTGACAAAGTGACAATAACTGCTGCTGGTCATAAACTCAATTTCTCTAAACAAAGGCTGCTCAATAAATTAGACAGGTATTTCTAACTTCTTTAATATACGTATAGAAACTCACTTCAGAATGACCAGAATGTCTGATAGCCTGTTTTTTAAATGGAAGAAAGAAAGTTGCACCAGCTGATTGGATCACTTTGACTCTTAGATTCCCCAGAGGACCACTTCCATCTCTCCAGCACTTGTCCGGAAGAACTCCCCCAGTGGAGGTGTGGTTCTTGGTGCTCGCACAGGTTCTCAACTCACACGTACCAGGTAAAATCCACTTTAGCTTTGTGAGTGAAGAAAGTTGATTTAAAACACCACCAAACTTCCGTAAATCTGTTTTTAAAACATGCTCCCATTCTGTTTCAGTAATCCAGACCTGAGGCGCTCAGAGCTTTCTCTCGATGCCTTACTGCAGAGATCTTCCTCTAACTCGTCATCTTCCTCTTCTCCTTCATCTCAGGGAGGCTCAACTGAAAGGAAAGGTATATAAATGGCATCTAAACTGGCGTCTGAGGCTTTCAGTAGGATTTTATCTGCCCTGATCAGCTGGTCTGCTGTGGCCTGTTGCACTCGGTCTCCAGAGCAGTGATGAGGAAGCGAGACACAGATGTGTCAACAAAAGGCCAGGCGGGTAACTGGAATATGCTCGGATGTTTATCTGACACACAGATGGTTTCATGAGAAGCTGAAGTAGAGATTCATTTTTCCATAGATATTCATTGGATTTTAGGTTTTGCAATCGATTCCAAGTGTGGTTAAAACAAAGGACGGCTGTTCTAGAACCATAAAAGTCAGATTATTTACGCTAAATTCTGTAAATTATGTCTTTTTAGGCCAAATAAAGCAGGATGAATCCCCTCCAGGAGCCTTCAAGGAGGCTAAAACCAAACAGGAGGATGGTCAAGAATCAGCCAGACCCAGCAGACCTGCAGTGAGTGTAAACCCAGATGCATGTCATCACACAGAGCTCCTCCTCTCTCAAAGTCTTTCTTCTCTCCTTTTTTTCTACTATTCACTTGATATCTCTTTCTTCCCCTGCCGTTCTATTACCTTCTTCTCCTCAGAGCTATAAGAAAGCCATAGATGAGGTTAGTGACTATCTGGTTCCCTTTCTCCCACATCCTGGTTTTCCTTTGCTTTGATCTTCAGGATCCCTCTTCTTCGTTTGGGATGGTGGAATTAAAAAAAAACACAACAACCTCACTTTTAATTTGACAGCGTTAAAACTCAGTAATTGTTCATGTGTGTTTTCACAAACATACGTGAGAGACTTGATGAGTGTATGTGCATGCATGTTTGTGTGCAGAGGGGATGTCAGAATGCTTAGTTTCCAAACATCTGAACAATTTCTGAATCTCTTTTTTTCCCCTGTGTGTTTGTTGTCATGGTTACTGGTCAGGAGGAGCTGGTAAGCCCCACATATGTGTGACAGTCCTCATCGTTCCCTGTTTGCATGATTTGGTCCAATTTGGGGAAAAATGTCCTTAGGGCCTGCTGGCATGTGGATGATGGTTGGAGGCAGAGATGCTGCCTTGAATTCTCACGTGTCTTCATAAAGTTAGTTTTTGATCACGAGTGAATAAAAGTGCTGATTGGGATGGCTCTTTGAATAGAAAATCAAAGTTTGTTTAAAAAATTTCAGTTGAAAGGTCAATTGCACTGAAAACCCATTTTTTTATTGTCATTTGTGATTATAATCAGTCACTCTGAGTTTAACATGCAGGTTGAACATGAAAATAGTCTCCTACACCTATCTCCTGCTTTATCTTCTGATAGAAAATAGATGTTGAAACTCTAGGATTGGAAAAGCCTGACAGATCACACTGCCACTTAACCCTTTAAGCGCCAAAGTCGCAGAATTGTGACAAGCAGCAGTGTTGGATTTAATAAGCCACAGCAGCAGAAATGAGCCCTCATGCAGTTAATACGTTACACAGCGGGGTGGCAGACACCTGTGGGTGTGTTACTATTCAAATTTATGGAGTATTTAGAACTTGAACCCCGCCCACCAGTCGCAGAGCCGCGGGGCTTGTCAGAGCAGTTAGATGAGTGAGAGCAAGCTAGTGGTAAAGGAAAAAAACACAATGCCGAGAGGAATGTTCAGTGCTGACGAAGCTCCTGTGTAGTACTGGCAGATTCGGATTTGGAGGAGGAATATTTCCTTTCCGAGGATGATCTGCGGTCTTCTAGCGAGACGGAAAGCGTGGCTTCAGCGCGCAGCAACAGGGAGTCTGACAATGAGGTTACACAAGCAGCCCATCCAGCCCTTACCTTGTCCGATGTTCCGCGTCACCGTGTCCGTACCGGGTCTGATCCTTCGCTCCACCGTGCCGGGGGGGGGGTGTGTGGTGGACGTGATCGGGCCGGTGAAAACTCCGCTGGTGATCGATTCAGCCCCGAGGGAGTAAACTGCGGGAAATGCAGCAGGAGGTGGAGGAACCACCGGAAAAAAAATCACTGCTAGCAGGGGGGTGGCCCAACACAGCCTCAGTGACAATAATAATGATGATGGTTGGGCTAGTTAAGGAGATGAGGAACAGTATTCCAAGTGGATCAGACATTTTGATGAGCCAGTTGGATACTGTGGAGACAGGGATCTGTCAAATTCAGAACACATTGATTTTCTGTCAGCTTTTTTGGATGAGGAATTCTGGACCCTCATCACAACTGAAACTAACGATATGCTCACCAGTATTTAGAGAACTGAAATCTAGCTCCAGATATAATGACTGGTACGATGTAACTGTCCCAGAAATGAAAGCGCTCATTGCCATTCAATTCTGCATGGGGCTTGTGGAAAAGCCTGAGATTGAGGGTTGTATGTATGTATATATATATATATATATATATATATATATATATATATATATATATATATATATATATATATATATATATATATATATATATATATAACAATTATAAACAAAATAAACCAACGAAGGGATGAGTGAAATGTGTTCATGACAACACTGAAGCACCAAAAACAGTGTTCCTGATTGATACACAGTAAACATAACAAAATACCAATAAAGTAATAAATATTATATATATATATATATATATATATATAACAATTATAAACAAAATAAACCAACGAAGGGATGAGTGAAATGTGTTCATGACAACACTGAAGCACCAAAAACAGTGTTCCTGATTGATACACAGTAAACATAACAAAATACCAATAAAGTAATAAATATTATATATATATATATATATATACATACATAGTTATATATGTCTACATAGGAATATGTATATATGTATCATAAACAATAACAACACTAAGAAAATAAGACAAAAACATTAAAAAAATCTGCAAATGTGATGCAATCCAATATGGCTGCCACCGGATGACGTCATAATATGCAAATTATGTGAGTGAATTTGTTCCTATCACAAAATTTGGCTCATACTGAAGACTTTTCTAGTTTACAATATTCCTTTATCTCTAACCGGATTTAAGCTACAAGCTCGTTAAATAGTGACATAAAAAAATCACCTTTTACTGAAAAAACTACGGCAGCTAAAGGGTTAACATTCATGGACTCATTCGTCGTGATCCATGACAGGTTATTGTTATTGGCCATGTTATTGGCCGTGTTCGAGTTGAGCTGCGCCTCACCTGGAAAACAGACGAGAGCAGACGGAAGCAGCAGGGGGAGTGGCTGAAAGCCGGCGTTTAAGTCGGACACAATTTCCTGCATGTGTACCTCACGGGTGACGATGGCTGAAGATATCGCGTTAGCGTTCACACTTGTTTAATTTTCAATTTATAATTCTGGTGCGTGTTAGCAGCTGAAACACACCTTCACGTGCTTGTGGATATCATATATTGTATATGGAGACATGACTGTAATAATAAGTAAAGGTTATCAGCTGTAGGTTTAGTGTGTTCATAGGAAACATGACAACAGAACACAAAACACATTTCTCTTTATGGCCTACATTGTTGTCATCAACATAACATGATTTACAGAATACATGTGACCAACTAACATTTCATGTTCTACCACCGGATGTTTGGATCAAAATATGAACCAATCAGATCTTAGATCAGGTGAGAGCCAGGCGTTTCGCGTCATCCCCTAGGTTTTGCAGCCGAGGGAGAGCAACTGCAGCGCCTTGCTCCAAAATCTGCGGCTGCCTTGATCTCACGAGGTTATCGTTGCCTACGTATGCATGACAGAGCCTCAAAGAGGCGCAACAGTGCTTTTGTCCCCCAGAGTACGACTTACAAAGCATTCATTCCTACTAGAGATCACTGCAAATGTATCAGAAATATGAATAAATTTGACCTTTAAACAGATCAAATCAGCACTCTTGTTCCAGGACATGCTTGTCTCCAGGCCAAGGTGTGTGTGTGTGTGTGTGTGTGTGTGTGTGTGTGTGTGTGTGTGTGTGTGTGTGTGTGTGTGTGTGTGTGTGACAGCATACTATAGTTGTCCTTTTGTTATGCTGCTGATGACCTCTTTGACCCTCTTGCCCTTGTTCTTTCTCTCATCAGGTTCCTAGACTAATTACCTAGAACTGCAGGCTAAAGGATTTATTAATTTCTGTGTCTTGAAGGACTTAAGTGCTCTGGCCAAAGAACTTAGAGAACTGAGGGTAGAGGAAGGAAGCAGACCCCCAGTCAAGGTACAATGATTCAGAAGAGTAACATGAATTAAATGGAAACTGCAAACTTACCAAAACATCATTGCATTTACTTTGCACTCACCAACTCGCCTATTCAAAAAGATTTCAGTGTCTTTGAGGGATATTTCTATCTACTGAGAATTTTTGTTTAATGCAGAAAACAGGAATAATTGCTATTTTACTCATTGTAGATTTCTGACTGGCCTCATTTTGGAGAAACAGCAATTACACCCAATGCGACTGACAAGCTAAAGGCTAGTCTAAGCTGAGTTGTCCAATCTTTCGTAGCTGGTGACATGATTACCGCATTGACCCGAATATAAGACGAGGTTTTTTTTCATTGAAAACAATTTAAAATGTGGGGTTGTCTTATAATCGCGGTCTACCCGTTACACGCCCGTAGCAGCAGAGGGCGTCAGGCGGTGTGTTCTTAACAGGAGAAAAAAATGGAGACGAGAGGTCCGGAGCAGAGTGGACCGAAAACGGAGCAATACTAAGGCAGAGTTATGCGAATTTTAAGATGACGGTGGTCAATTCAGCAGAAGAGTCAAACATTGCATGCATGGATGTATTGGATGGCAGTGAGGATGGCGTTCTGGGAGGTGTCGGCAGGTGTAGCGATCTGATGCTGGGACCACAGCAGCATGAGTGTGAGTGAGTACAGCGAGGCAGAGGACGTCTGAATAAAAGCCTCATTTGACTTTTGATTTCACCTGTCAGCAAAGTTCTGACAGTTTGCATTAAAGTGGTACTTTTGCTCAGTATTTAAAAATTATTTAAAAAAGGATTTTTTTGTCCTTTCCTGAAGATTAGTCTTGGAAAAGGGGGTCGTCTTATATTCGGGTCAATAAGGTACTAGCGCATTTTATTTGTCTTTATGAATTTAAGAGTTTTTGACACAAGATTGCTTCCGCACATTTCCTCTGGTCATTAGAGACGTTTGTTCTAAGCACTGCCACATTGGCTTCAGTTTTCAGACATGGAGGTCACGATCAGTTTAAAACTGCTTTAAGCAAAATTTCTCCACAAACTAGCATTACTTTTAAGTTGACTTAGGTTTTTTGCTTTTAGGTAACAGATTACTCATCCTCAAGTGAAGATTCAGAGAGCAGTGCTGAGGATGGCGAGATAGTGGGGCATGACGGCACTGTTGCTGTCAGTGACATTCCTCGGATCATGTACGTTTTCCATTCTTAGTTTCTCTGTTTCCTTGTCAGTTACTGCTTGTCTTTTACATATGGCTTTGTTTGGAATTTGAACCATGCTAGAAGCTTGCCTGTATAGCTTACGAAGAACTAATTTATCAATGATCTTTGTGTGTGTGTGTGTGTGTGTGTGTGGTTGTATGTGTGTGTGTGTGTGTGTGTGTGTGTGTGTGTGTGTGTGTGTGTGTGTGTGTGTGTGTGTGTGTGTGTGTGTGTGTGTGTGTGTGTGTGTGTGTGTGTGTGTGTGTGTGTGTGTGTGTGTGTGTGTGTGTGTGTGTGTGTGTGTGTTTCAGGCCAGCATCACAGAACAGTGGTGAGGTGTATGGAGGGCTGGCAGAGGACGCTCTGGGAGATGCTTATAATAGCTCCAAGGACGGGACACTGGTGATGAGAGGGGTGATGAACGTGAACACGCTTACACACTCAGCCTCAACCTTACACACACACACACACACACACACACTGACAGGCTACATTAATCTCAAGAGAGGCCCAGCTCATGGGTTTGTTTACATTTTGCTAAATCTCATATGATGCTTTGTCTTTCAGGTTGAGGAGAGGAGGAGAGGGAGTCTCACTGAAAGTAATGGCTTTGGAAATCACAGTAACCATGGTAACCTCCCTGACCTGGTCCAGCAGAGCAACTCCCCCACAGCCACACCCACTTCTGCTCTGCAGGAATTGAGAAACATGGGGGAGGTCAGATCCTGACACGTCCTGCTTGTGCACATTAACTGTGTTGGCGTCTGCTGAGCAGTTTTATTAACTTCTTTTTGCAGTTTGGTCTTGGTGGGTCCAAAGCATCATTCACCCCATTTGGTGATCCACGGGTTTTCCAAACGTCTCCAGGTGAAATGGATGATGAGAACTCAGCAGCAGGTGGAGTTTTTGAGTTATTTTTCTGCAAAATCAATGATGGGTGATAACATTTGTTAAAGTATGTTCTTTTTTTTTTTCTTCACCTTTCCTTTCTAACCGTAGCCATGTTCGCCAACGAGCTGCTGAGGCAGGAGCAGGCCCAACTAAACGAAGCCAGAAAAATCTCAGTGGTGAACGTTAATCCGACAAACATCAGACCTCACAGTGACACACCAGAGATCCGGAAATACAAGAAACGCTTCAACTCGGAGATCCTATGTGCTGCACTCTGGGGTAAAATGAAAAATCTTCCTCATTCTCATTTTCATTTTTGCATTCTTGTTTTCTTTAATGCGTTTTGTGCTTTTAGGTGTGAACCTGATGGTGGGGACCGAAAACGGTTTAATGCTGCTTGACCGAAGTGGACAGGGAAAAGTTTATAACCTTATAACCAGACGGCGCTTCCTACAGATGGATGTTCTGGAAGGACTTAATGTTTTAGTCACCATATCAGGTAGATAAAACCTCTCTGATTGGATCGTAACACACACTTGTGTTTATTTTAGTTCAAATACATTCCGTGTGTAACTAGATTAATATTTATGTCTCCTCTTTTCTCAGGGAAAAAGAATAAGTTACGAGTGTACTATTTGTCCTGGTTGAGGAACAGAATATTACACAACGACCCAGAAGTTGAAAAGAAACAGGGTTGGGTTACAGTTGGAGAACTGGAGGGCTGTTTGCATTATAAAGTTGGTAAGAAAAACTTCAGCAAAGTAAATAAAATTGTAGGCTTGAATTTTTTATCATTTAACTAAAGGCTGTAAAGATTTTATGATGCTTTTTAAAGATATCTTCACGTTTCAAACAGAAAACCAAGTATTTAGAAATTCCCTCAGAATGTATTTAGGCACTTAAATGTATCATTTGAAGAATTTAGAGGTTTAAAACCTGCTCTTTTTGTGGGCTTTTGTCATGTTTCCAGTTAAATATGAAAGGATAAAATTCCTGGTGATTGCACTTAAGAACGCTGTGGAAATCTATGCGTGGGCACCTAAACCCTACCACAAGTTCATGGCCTTTAAGGTACAAAAACCTCACATATAAACACGTTTTTTATGTCTAGCATCAGAAAATAATGCTTTAAACTGACAGTTTCAAAAGTTTCTTTTAGAAAAACATTTCCACTCTTCTCTGATTTTAGTCATTCGCTGAGCTGCAGCACCGCCCTCAGCTGGTTGACCTCACAGTGGAGGAAGGTCAAAGGTTAAAAGTCATCTATGGCTCCAGTGTGGGCTTCCATGTCATCGATGTGGACTCCGGCAACCCTTACGACATTTATATCCCCTCTCATGTTAGTATTGGTCTTTGCTTTGTAGCTTTAAGACAGTTCCTTGATTAATTGCCATGCAGCTAAAGGACTAACATCAAATTTAACTTTGCACCTGATTTATTTTTATTTTTCTAAATGTTGTGTTTGGATCAACTATGTAGAGCAGAAATACAATGATGTACTCTTGTAACAACGGACAAAGCATACCACGTTGGGCTTTGGATTGTAGAAAGAGCTCATAGGATGAAAGAAATTTAACTTGAAGACCAAGTTCACAGAGAAAAAAAACACATTTTTTGCGTGTAACTTTTGAAATATGATCAGTCACTCTGAGTTTCACATGCAGGCTAAATGTGAAAGGAGTCTTGCTACAAGTACTTTACACCCAGGCTGAATATAAAAATGGTCTTCTACCCCTATTTCCTGCATTAGGCGTCAATAGAAAATAGATGAAGGAATGCTTGGATTTGAAAAGCCTGTCAATTTTAGGTCACATTGTGAAATTTACATTCAGGGTCTCACCCATCTTGGCTTGCGACGGGAAGGGCAGTTGTTGTTATAGCATCCAAGAGAAAGCAGAGCACCTCTTGGCTAGTAGAAGCTAACTGTTGGCAACCATTAGCATTAGCAATGTGACCGAAGTCCTTCAGGCTTGTGTTAGTTGTGGAGATAAAACATCAGTGTTGCCAGTGGCAGAGTCGTGTTGCTGTTGGACAATCAGAAGTGAGATATCTAAAACTCCAAATCCTGCTGTCTGAAGCTCCCCTCTGAGCGCCAGAGCTCTTTTTCCCCACAAAGATTGACTCACAAGGCATTTGTTTTATGTTAGACCACTGAAAATGTGTTTTAAAAAAGTGAACTTGGTCTTTAAAGCAATTCAGTCATTTTCCTGATTTTGTGGAAATATTTCACCAAACAAAGACTGAATGGAGATGTGAGTGTTTAAAGGAATCAAGCATTAAACCCTCTGATCTGGCATGAAAGGTTTTCTGTTTCCTTTAAGTAAAAGGTAACCTGATTTCTAAAAGATTTGTATAAGAAATTTTGGTAACATTTTGGATCTAAATCTTGTTTGGAGAGCTGGACCCTATTACTGTAGCCTGTGCGCTATGGCTATTTATCTAGAAGTACTCTTATGATTGTCTATTATGAATTTTGAGGTTCTAAAATACTCGGGATGTAACGTTGCACGTATTCATACCACGGTGCAGACGTTAGGGATGGGCAGCAACCAGACAAAAAATACATTAGTCACTATTCTCTTCAAGAAAAGAGCACATCATTCTCTATTAAATGCAGTTTGTGAACTGACACAAGAGAAAAGACGTAAAGATCTCTAAAAATCGTTTAAAGCAGTGACTAGTTCAGAGGACACACCTGTGTGGAAAAGTTTTATAGTCCCGATTCCTGGCAGCAAGTGAGACAATGGAAGGTGGAGTTATGAAAAGCCGTTAACATTTTTGTGCACTGCAACTCTTCAGTAACTCATTAATGATAAATTATGTAGGTGTGACTGATGCATGCTGTACCACCCTCAATAAAATTTAAAATATGTTCTGCCACTAGCTTCAATAACCCCATATAATGACTGATCCACCTCTGTGCTTAACAGTTAGAACATTTTCAAAGACTCAAGTATATATATATATATATATATATATATATATATATATATATATATATATATATATATAATATCTATCTATCTATCTATCTATATATATATATATATATATATATATATATATATATATATATATATATATATATATACATACATATATATAATATCTATCCATCTATCTATATATATATATATATATATATATATATATATATATATATATATATTTATTTATATTCATCACTTTTCTATTTTTGTCTGTAAAATTCCACAAATTAAATTGAAAAAGAAAACAACCTGCTGGTGAGAATGTTACAAAGTTGCCTTTTGGAAAGCCTTTAATCGTGCTTAAAAGAGCACCCACACTATTCCATGTCAGTGTCAATAAAAATGAAAGCTCACTGTTTCCACCTTTCATCCATGCCTGTTTTCTCTCTCTCCCTCCCTGCCAACCTCTCCTCCGATGTGCCAAACAGATGAAGGTGACATGCTGCAACCGCCCCTGTAGATTAGACCACTAAATGTGTAGTAAACCCTAGTGGATCTACGAGTGTGTCACTTGTATTTATGTGCAGTTCACTAGCATTGCTGTTGATCAAAAGTGGGTGTGTATAATTAGGCATGTCTCACCCATGGCAGACGTCACGGCATCAAGGCTCTTATGCAATGAGTTTGCAGTCAAACAGTCACATTTCCTGTTAAATCTAAGTTAATAATTAACAACCAGATATTTACTTTTAATGCCAAAAACTGTTTGTCAGTGACATCACAGTTCTATTGCTGCTGATGTTCTAGAAAAAAAGTTTAAAACATGTGTTGTAATAAGTGGGAGCTATTTGGTATTTGGAGCTCCTGTGCCAAAACATTCTTTCATGGGTTGAGACAAGCTGGTTGTTGTTTGGTTGAACTGTCATCTGAAGTCTGAACTCAACATAACCTGCTGGGAAAAAATAATTATCTCTTGGCGACAGTTGGTTTTATGTGTTTAAATTTGACAGATGTTTCCTTATTTTCAATTATCTTTATTGGTCTGTAACTTACATTTTGAATTTACTAGTTACCACACGCGCGCGCGCACACACACACACACACACACACACACACACACTGCATTTAAATTCTAGTAAAAACACAGTTTTAAGGATAGTTACATTAGAAACATTCATTAACATATCGGTATCATTTCGATAAATTAAACCAGGCCGATATTAACAACCGATATTTTTCCAATCTCGTCTCCATTTGTTGCTTTTAGGTGCTCACAGTAGACCCTCTGTTTCAGAGGGTGAGGCGGGTGATATGTAGTTGTTTAGTCATGTGAACAGTGAATGAAATCATCTCAGAACCATAAATGTGTGTGGTGTGTGTACATAATAACATAAATTCAGCTTTAGTAATTTTCATTCTATACAAAATCTGCTGATTTTAGAAGCATTAATGCCAGTATATTGGTTATCGACCATAACAGTGATCTTAATATCGGTACTGGTCCCAAAATTTCATATCGGTGCATCACTAGTTTAAAGTCACTGAAGTCTATTTGTGGCTGTTTCTCCATTAGATCCAGAGCCAGGTGACGCCCCATGCCATCGTGGTGCTCCCAAAGACTGATGGGATGGAGATGCTGCTGTGTTACGAGGATGAGGGAGTATACGTCAACACTTACGGTCGAATCACCAAGGATGTGGTGCTACAGTGGGGAGAGATGCCTACCTCTGTTGGTATGCCTTAGTCAAGTATAATTAGATGTTTTAAAAATAAAATGAAACATTTGATGTATTCTTGTAGTCATGGATTAAGCCTGCCATGTTGGTATTGTAGAAGGAGCTCATAGGAAGAAAGAAAAAAATACATTAATTTAATTTACTTGAAAACCAAGTTCACGGAGAAACCAATTTTTACTTGTTAGTTTTGAATTGAAACGATCGATCTCTCAGTTTTACATCCAGGCTGATTGTAAAAATGGTCTTCTACCCCTATTTCCTGCAATACCCACCGATGGACAGGGACATGTTTGTATCAGAAAAACCTGTGACAGTTACACTTCATGATGTCAAACTGGCATTCATGGACTCACCCATCTTGGCTTACGCCGGGGAAGGCTGTTGTTGATTTCGCATCCAGGAGAGAGCAGAGCACATCTCAGCTAGTAGAAGCTAGCCATTAGCAACTCCACAACACAGAACTTCTTCATGCTTGTTTTATTTGTAGGGATAAAACATCAGTGTTGGAAAGCAGAGTCATTGGTTGAGTCACATTGCTATTAGCCAACCAGAGGCGAGATGTCCAACTATCAGGAAAATAAGCCTGCCATCTTCAGCTCCTCTCTGCTCTGGTTCACTTTTAGTTAACAGTAGCGCCAGAGCTTCCTTCTCACAGAGAACATCTCACAAGGCATTCATTTATACTAGAAACCACTGCTAATGTATTGAGAAAACTAGTGAATTTGGTCTATAAGAATGATACTTTGGCCACTTTGAGGTTTGTTGATTTTTCCATAGTAGCAAAGAGCTTTCTGAATGCCCAAAGGTTTAGGGAAGGAGTTTACACTCAACAATAGTTACTAGTTAATCCTGTCATGTCTTGCCTAAATGCAGAGAAAGCAGTATAAGACAGTAGGCCCAATATGAGTATTTCTTTATAGATAATTTATAGAAATGAAAGGATGATGCAGAACTCCTCAATTCCTATATGCCCTAGGTCTCTTCACTCAGCTGACAAACTCTTGCTGTGTGTTCCAAAAATGCAGTACGAGACTCGTGGTGAATGTGCATAGAAGTACAAATAGCTTGCCTCTCTCGGTTCGTTCGGCCTCATCTATCAATCTGTTTAAATCTGGTCTCAAAACCCACCATCGCTTTGGGTACTTGATCCAAATGGGCAGGGCTTTCGCTGGTGTGATTGTTTACAAGTTTTATCATGTAGTACTTTCTTCTCTCTTTTTAAATGTTTTAATTTTTTATTTTGATGTTGTTTTTAGCACTTTTTATTTCATTTTACAAAAGTTTTTGGCCATTACCAGATATTTCCCTTGTGTTTTAATCAGTTCTTTTTTCTACCTCGTGATTTGGCAATTTTATCTTGTTTCCTTTTATTGAATGTCAAGCACTTTAGTCAGCTGTCATGCTGTTGTTAAATGTGCTATATAAATAAATCTGGATTGGATTGGATGACGGGTGTAGAAAAATGAACAGGGATTAGTACACTATAAAAATGATCTGTTAAAATTGAACCAATAATTTTAGCGAAACAATTTACATTCAGTTTAAGTAAATTTTAACCAGAATTTTAAGTAAACCTTACCCAAATTACACAGCTAAAAAACTACTTGAAAAAATTAAAGTCAAACACCATTGTTGCATTGGTATTTAATGTAAAATATTAGATACATTTTAAACAATTTATTTACTTGTAATTTAATCAATTAATTAGTTAAAGATTAACTAATGTATTTACATATTTTCTATTAAATTAGATGGTTCAAGTCAAACTTTCTTTCACCTATGATTCCTCAAATAAATTAATTATTTTAGGAATCGTGATACAAAGGACAATACTTCTACGAATAACAATTTATTCAACTAAAAGCACTACAAAAACAAAAACCCTGACAATTAAAGAAATGCTTTACATGCTGCAATATTTGCCCTAGAAAGGAATTAAATGATGGTTGAGGACAAATTAGTCCCAAAGTAGTCCATGGGACAGGAGAGAGGTAGTTTGACCCCCTGTTCGAGGTTAGACAGACAATCATGTAAATCATTTGGGTTGATTTGGTCTTGCCTTCTTCAGAAAGAGTGGTGGTTCTCCTAGTGGATAGATTCAGCTGCCCCTTCTAGTGATTTATTACTTGGGGGTGCTGCCTGTGATGAGGATGTACTAGATATCCTGAGTTTGTTGTAGGCGTCAGATGAGTCTGAACAGGAACTAGGATAGGGACAATCTCTCTCTCTCTCTCTCTCTCTCTCTCTCTCTCTCTCTCTCTCTCTCTCTCTCTCTCTCTCTCTCTCTCTCTCTCTCTCTCTCTCTCTCTCTCTCTCTCTCTCTCTCTCTCTCTCTCTCTCTCTCTCTCTCTCTCTCTCTCTCTCTCTCTCTCTCTCTCTCTCTCTCTCTCTCTCTCTCTCTCTCTCTCTCTGTGTGTGTGTGTGACACTCCTGTAGATAAAAGATGTTGTGTTTTCTCAGACCTGTGCTAAAGGAGTCACTAGAGGTTTAATGGAATACTATATTTGTTTCATAGCACCATCCACACTTGAAAGGCCCCCAAAAATAAGAGCAGCCTTGATTATTGCAGATCAAAGGTAAAAAATAATGTTATAGAATATTATAGAACAAAAAAATAAAAAAAGTTGTATAAAATAATCAGACTTACCAGTGGAAAGGAAAGAAGGGGGAGTTTGGTAGGCAGAAACAGCCACTTATGCATCTCTGGACCTTTTAAATTCCCTGTGATTTACTGCCCTCATTTGGCAGGGAGGGGGATTACACGTGCAGACAAATGCACGCTGCATGGACACTCACAGGCCACTTTATTAAGTACACCTGTCCAACTCCTCGTTAACACAAATGACTAAAAAGCCAATCACATGGTGGCAACGTATTGCATTTAGGCATGATGACATTCAAGACGATCTGCTGCAGTTCAAACTGAGCTTCAGAATGGGGAAGAAAGATTGAAGTGACTTTGAGCATGGCATGGCTGTTTGTGCCAGACGGGCTAGTCTGAGTATTACAGAAACTGCTGATCTTCTGGAACTGTCACGCACAACCATCTCTAGGGTTTACAGAAAATGGTCCGAAAAGGGAAAACATCCAGTGAGCAGCAGTTCTGTGGGTGAAAATGCCTTGTTGATGTCAGAGGCCAGAGGAGAATGGCCAGACTGGTTCAAGCTGATAGAAAGGCAACAGTAACTCAAATAACCACTTGTTACAATCAAGGTATGCACAAGAGCATCTCTGAGCATACAACACATTGAACCTTGAGGCAGAAGCGCTACAGCAGCAGAAGATCACACCGGTGCCACTCCTGTCAGGTAAGAACAGGAGACTGAGGCCCTGTACACACGTAGCCGGGGATCTGCCAAAACGTAGATATTTTTCTACGTTTTGGCCTGTCATCCACACGAAAACTGAGTTTTTTCACACGAAAATTGATCTTTTTAAAAACTCCGGCCAAAGTGAAGATCTGCGTTTTCTCCGTTTTGGGTGTCTGCTTGTGGACGGACAAAACCGGAGTTTTAAGGTCCGCAACGTCACTTTCCGCGACAAACAATGCTGACATCACGTGTGCGACCTGTGTTTACACTAGCCGACAGCATGGATGCCCTCAGAGCTGCGCTCGCTTTATCAACTGTCCAAGCACTTTTTGCTCGTTTGTTTTTGCAAGTGGAATTACTGCTCCTTGCGGAAGACCACAGACGAAGGACGAGGTTAAGAACGGGGGAAGTACTGCCGCCTACAGGTCTGGCATATCCTTAACAACGTATTTATCCGGGTACGTGTGGACAGAGTTTTTTTTTTTAAAACGAGGTGGTGTGGTTGCAAGTTTTTGGAGGGGCGGATTTAAAAAAAAAAAAAACGGCCACGTGTGGACTAGGCCTGAGACTACAAATCACAGGCTCACCAAAATAAGACAATAAAGGAGGGAGGGGGGGTGGGGGCTGGTGCCGGTGTCTATCTCCAGTGGTCAATGGGCAGTCAGGCAGGGTACACCCTGGACAGAGTGCCAGTCCATCGCAGGGCAACACAGAGATACACAGGACAAACAATCATGCACACACACACACACACTCTCACCTAAGGACAATTTAGACAGACCAATCAACCTAACAGTCATGTTTTTGGACAGTGGGAGGAAGCCGGAGTACCCGGAGAGAACCCACACATGCACAGGGAGAACATGCAAACTCCATGCAGAAAGATCCCAGGCCGGGAAGCTAACCCAGGACCTTCTTGCTGCAAGGCAACAGCTCTAACCACTGCGCAGCCCATTCAACAGTTAATGGAAAATGTAATTTTTTAGATAAAATATTGGCTCATGAACTTGACTTCCAGAGTTCAGAGGTCTTGTTTGATGTCAAACCTATCTCAGTAATATACTTTTTATATTGTGTAATGTGCAATAACAACAGGGGTTGCTCAACAAAATGCCTGTGAAACCTTAGATCTCCCCCCACAAATATGACAGAAAGACGTGACTTTGCAACTGCAACTATATCATCTTTAAAAACATTTCTGCAAATTTCTGCTATTTTTTTCCAGCCTATATCCGTTCGAATCAGATAATGGGTTGGGGTGAGAAAGCCATAGAGATCCGTTCTGTAGAGACGGGCCATCTGGACGGAGTCTTCATGCACAAACGAGCTCAGAGACTCAAATTTCTGTGTGAGCGGAACGACAAGGTAATTACAACACAGAATCTAGAGGGTGGTTCTGATGACACAAGCGATCGGGTATATTTGATACTATAGATGACAGAAATCCACAGAAATAAACATTTGTGTTTATGTTCTCTTTATTCCAGGTTTTTTTTGCATCGGTGCGTTCTGGCGGCAGCAGCCAAGTATTCTTTATGACACTCAACAGGAACTCTATGATGAACTGGTGATGTGTCTCATCCGGTCTGCCTCACTCATCCGACGGACAGTCGGAAAACCCACCTCTCGCCTCGCTGCACATCAAACAAAACAAACCTGACTAATCAGGGCGGCCATTAAAGAACTCTGTTAACACTGGAGAGACTTTTACGGTTTGGAAGAAAAATATATATGAAGAGACTAAATATTTTATGGTGAGTTTGATCATGCAGACGCTACTCAAATGACTGGAACCGACTTCCTCCATCTTCTTCTTTTGTAACAGCACTTTGTTCCACTGGATTTAAGAGTTTTCTATTCCCTTCTCCCTGTTCAGATCCCATCATCGCTTTTGTACTCTCACTGCCATGTTCTCGATTTTCCTTAATTTCCTTTTCACAAAGTACGGAAACTAGAGTGAATGAATGGAATTTAATCTAAATTCAAAAGTACTTTGGAATGAAAAGATTACAAATGTTGTTTGAATGTATGTGATGAAAGCTGCAGCCTCCATTTCTGGTGCTCTGGGCTTCTCTTGTTGCCCTAAGACGTTTCACCTCTTCGCGTCAGTTCAGAGAAGTAGCCCCCCCACTCTGGAACAGTATTTCTTCCATCTTTATTTTCTTCCAACCATTCCTCTTTTTGGCTATTTTAAAATCTGAAGGTGCTGCATCAGTAATATTTCAGTCTTTTTCTTTCTTCATGAAATAGTTTTGAGTCAGTCAGTCTTTGACACTTGATGACGCATATTGCACGTCAATGCGCACGCGCGCGCGTGTGTGTGTGTGCGCGCGCGAGATGCTGGGAATGTCATTGATCTTGCTTGTAAACTTTGACCCTATGAGTTTGTTTACATGCAGAGATAATACTTTTATCTTGGTATGAATTTCATGATCAGGTGTGTGTACACACCTAGTCTATTTTTTAAAGAAGGCATTATTGATGGTTGAATTTTGGAGTTTAATGTTTGGATTATTTGCTCCACATTTCTGTCGGTGGTAAAAAGATACTGAATATTTACCACTGTGTGCATGTTGGAGGCACATCTCAGTAAAATGGGATCTCCTTTTAAAACTCACTCTCTCTCCTTGTTGGCTGTTCTCATTTAAGGCTTTTAACTGTTTGTTTTTATTTTTCCAGTGCCTAGCATGACGCAAGCATAATGTATGGAGGACACACGTTTATTGTTATTGATCTCATTAGAACCTTGTTTTTTTGTTGTTGTTTTTTTGCTTTTTGTTGTTTTTTTAAGTTTTTCAATTATGACTACATTAAAACTGTTTTGGGATTTGAGTGTGTTATCTAAATGTAACAAATGTCTACAAACCCCCTTACCCAAGTGGAGATGTGCATTAATCCTTTAAAAATGTATCTTTGTTTTTCTGAAAGAGCACCTAAATAATAAATAATAAAGTTTACAAGTCAAAACACATACTACTGCAGGTTGAGGATAGCTGTGTTATTCCAATTAACATTTATTTTCTCTTAAAAAACATGCTCAAAGAAACAATAATATAAATGTCTGTTGATACTCATTTTTATCTGAAGTTAAAGAAGTTATTCCAAAGAAATTTCGGTTTTGAAGATTTAAATAAAACTGTTTCACATCAATGGTTGCAAATCTAATAATCAGAGCTGCTGCTTTTAATTCTAGCAAACTGACATTGTTGCTTTTTTTAAAAACATGTTAACTGAGTTCAAACAAGTTTAGTAACTATACATTTTCTAAAATAATAGGAATTACTTCCTTCTTAAAACCATCAATATGCTGTTGAATGTGGTAACAAATGTAAGATAAGAAAGATGAATCCACGTTCTTTTCATGTGAGTTATTGTTTCAACTCTGAAATGTTCTGATTTACTGTTGTTTTAGCTCACCTGAACATGCTAACATTTTAGCAATAAGAGTCGAGTCTTCCCCTGGTGTTCATCCAGGCTTCTGAGCGTTCTGATGGAGTGTGATTGACATGTTTTTACAGTTCGTTCATGTTTAAAGTACAATTCTGACTGTCAAGACACTGAAATCCCTTATTTTAATGATGAAATCCATTTTTCTGTTTGACTTTCTTAATTTTTGAAGAGCAAGAGGGGTTTATTAGCTTTTTAATGCTGTAAAACGGAAATAAATGAAATAACCTCATGGAAATCTGAGTTTTCTTTATTTTTTTCTATCGGCCTGTTTTTCTGTAAAACCACACTTGGACCCTGAGACTTTGACCACCTGAGTTTATCATTAACGCAGTGTGTGTGTGTGTGTGTGTGTGTGTGTGTGTGTGTGTGTTTGTGTGCTTATTAGATAAACTGGGGAAATTAACTGTAGAAGGGAAAAGGATAGACAACAAGAAAGTGACTTTGTTACGACAACCAATAAGGAATCATCTTTAAGCACCAATAAAATTTTAGCACCAATATAACGTCAATCATGCAGTATAAAAGTAAGAGTGATGTTTTTGTTAGAATATTTGCAGATAAGCTGAAATTCTCTAAAACAGCTGCATTTCTGTTTATTTATAATGGATAATAATAACACTTCTGCGTGTGAGCGGTCTCTCAGCTGTGTGTGGATGCATGCTGTTTGTACGTGTGTGTGTGTGTGTGGGTGTGTGCGTGTGCATGCCTGAGTTAGTCGATTAGCGAGTGGACACTGTGATCAGGCATGCTGCTTTCATTGATCATTACCAACCCAGCTGCTCATACTCTGGACTCATCATGGAGACAGGGAAGGTACGGTACATTTCTACACATCGCCTTCTTTATCAACATTTTTAATATAGGTAAACAGAAAGACACAAATTAAAACCATTTAAAACAAGAAGAAAGGGTTTTTTCTTCTATTTAAATGTGCTTGTTCTTGCTTCCATGTAGGTGGTTGTTAAAAAGTGAGTTTGTTCATCTGTCTGTGGGAGTGTGTGATTGTGTGTGTGAGAGTGTTTGTCTTATTAATGGTTTCCTTTCACTCGTGCAGCAAATAACAGGCACACTGGCTATAGCTGTGTTCACAGCAGCTCTGGGGTCGCTGCAGTACGGGTACAGTCTAGGAGTCATTAATGCACCTCAGAAGGTAGAGAACACGGATTCTGCTTTTAACCATCAAAGCATGTCTAACATTATACTATAGTGGTAATTTGATAAAATGTGTGTTTTATTGTCTCACTGTTATAGAACTTTTTATTTTTATCAATCCATCTAATTTTCAAAAGCATTAGAAAATATTTTGTTTTCTGTTAACTTATGAATCCTTTAACCTCTTCCTTTAAAGCTATGCTGTAAATTATAATAACTATTTTATGAATATAGTTGGATTTTTGCAACTTTATTTTTCTTTGATGGGCTGTAACTGACATTTTACAGCTTTTGGACCCACTTTTCTAAAGTCAGATATTATAATTTCAGGCAGTTTGCAATTTTTTGGTCCAACATGGAACAATCAAAAATCAGACGAGAGAAAAGAAAACGTTTAAATACGTCGTTGTCGTCTTCCTCCACTTATCCGGGTCCGGGTCGCGGGGGCAGCATCCCAGCTAGGGAGCTCCAGACCGTCCTCTCCCTAGCCTTCTCCACCAGCTCCTCCGGCAGGACCCCAAGCCGTTCCCAGACCAGATTGGAGATGTAACCTCTCCGGCGTGTCCTGGGTCGACCCGGGGGCCTCCTGCCGGCAGGACATGCCCGAAACACCTCCCCGGGGAGGCGTCCAGGAAGCATTCTGACCAGATGCCCAAACCACCTCAACTGGCTCCTTTTGATCCGGAGGAGCAGCGGTTCTACTCCGAGTCCCTCCCGAATGTACGAGCTCCTCACCCTATCTCTAAGGCTGAGCCCGGCCACCCTACGGAGGAAACTCATTTTGGCTGCTCGAATCCGCAATCTCGTTCTTTCGGTCATTACCCAAAGCTCATGACCATAGGTGAGGATTGGGAGTAGATCGACCGGTAAATCGAGAGCCTGGCTTTCTGGCTCAGCTCCCTCTTCACCACGACAGATCGGCTCAGCGTCCGCATCACTGCAGACGCTGAACCAATCCGCCTGTCGATCTCCCGATCCCTCCTACCCTCACTCGTGAACAAGAACGAGATACTTAAACTCCTCCACTTGAGGTAGGACCTCTCCCCCAACCCGGAGTTGGCAAGCCACCCTTTTCCGGTTGAGATCCATGGTCTCAGATTTGGAAGTGCTGATCCTCATCCCAGCCGCTTCACACTCGGCCGCGAACCTACCCAGCAAGAGCTGAAGGTCAGAGCTGGATGAAGCTAGGAGGACCACATCATCCGCAAAAAGCATAGACGAGATTCTCCTTCCACCAAACTCGACACACTCCACACCACGGCTGCGCCTAGAAATTCTGTCCATAAAGGTAATAAACAGAACCGGTGACAAAGGGCAGCCCTGGCAGAGTCCAACCCTCATCGGGAACAGGTCCGACACTACCGGCTATGCGGACCAAACTCACGCTCCTCTGGTAAAGGGACGGAATGGCCCTTAACAGAAAGCCACCCACCCCATACTCCTGGAGCGTCCCCCACAGGGTGCCCCTGGGGACACGGTCATAAGCCTTCTCCAAATCCACAAAACACATGTGGATTGGTTGGGCAAACTCCCATGCCCCCTCCATCACCCTTGCAAGGGTATAGAGCTGGTCCACAGTTCCACGGCCAGGACGAAAACCACATTGCTCCTCCTCAATCTGAGATTCAACTATCGATCGGACCCTCCTCTCCAGTCCCTTGGAGTAGACCTTTCCAGGGAGGCTGAGGAGTGTGATCCCCCTATAGTTGGAACACACCCTCAGGTCACCCTTCTTAAAGATGGGGGCCACCACCCCGGTCTGCCACTCTACAGGAACTGCCCCCATTGACCATGCAATGTTGCAGAGATGTGTCAACCATGACAGCCCTACAACATCCATAGCCTTGAGATACCCAGGACGAACCTCATCCGCCCCCAGGGCTCCGCCGCTGTGTAGTTGTTTGACTACCTCAGCAACTTCTGCCCCCGAGATTGGACAGTCCATCCCCAGGTCTCCCGGCTCTGGTTCCTCCTTGGAATGCGCATAGGTGGGATTGAGGAGCTCCTCAAAATATTCCTTCCACCGTCCGACTATAGCCCCAGTTGACGTTAGCAGCTCCCATCCCCACTGTAAAAAGTGTGAGCGAGTTGCTACCTTCCTCTCCTGAGGCGCCGGACAGTTTGCCAGAACCTCTTTGGAGCCGATCGATAGTCTTTCTCCATGGCCTCACAAAACTCCTCCCACGCCCGAGATTTTGCCTCGGCAACTGCCACTGCTGCACCCCACTTCGCTATCCGGTACCTGTCTGCTGCCTCCAGAGACCCACAGACCAGCCACGCCCTGTAGGCCTCCTTCTTCAGCCTGACGGCTCCCCGAGCCTCTGGTGTCCACCAGCGGGTACGGGGGTTGCCACCACGACTGGCACCGGCCACCTTGCGACCACAGCTAGCAACAGCCGCCTCAACAATCGCAGAGTGGAGCAAGGCCCACTCAGAGTCAATGTCCCCCACTGCTCTCGGGACGTGGTCAAAGCTCTGCCGGAGATGGGCATTGAAGACCGTCTTAACAGGTTCTTCTGCCAGTCGTTCCCAGCAGACCCTCACTATGCGTTTGGGTCTGCCAGGTCTACGCAGCATCTTCCCCTGCCATCTGATCCAACTCACCACCAGGTGTGATCAGTTGATAGCTCCGCTCCTCTCTTCACTTGGGTGCCCAAAACATACGGCCGCAGGTCAGATGATATGACTACAAAATCTATCATCGACCTGTGACCTAGGCTGCCCTGGTACCATGTGTACCGGTGGGCATCCTTATGTCCGAACATGTTGTTCGTTATGGCCAAACTGCGGCTTGCACAGAAGTCCAATAACGAAACACCACTTGAGTTGAGATCAGGCGGGCCGTTCCTCCCAATCACACCCCTCCAGGTCAAGCTGTCATTGCCCACGTGAGCATTGAAGTCCCCCAGCAGGACAATGGAGTCCCCTGATGGAGCACTATCTAGCACTCGTCCCAGGGACTCCAAAAAGGGTGGGTACTCTGAACTGATATTTGGCCCTTAAGCACAAACAACAGTCAGGACCCGTTCCCCGACCCGAAGGTGCAAGGAAGCTACCCTCTTGTCCCCCGGGGTAAACCCCAACACACAGGCAGAGAGTCTTGGGGCTAACAAAAAGCCAACCCCAGCCCTCCGCCTCTCACCCGGAGCAACTTCAGCAAAGGAGAGTGTCCAACCCCTCTCAAGGACTTGGGTTAGCCAATGCTATGTGTCGAGGTGAGTCCGCTTATATCTAGCCGGTACCGCTCAACCTCTGCCACAAGCTCACGCTCCTTCCCCGCCAGAGAGGTGACGTTCCATGTCCCAAAAACCAGTTTTCTTGTCCGGGGATCGGACCGCCAAGGCTCCCGCCTTGGTCTGCCACCCGGTCCACATTGCACTGGATCCTTCATGTTCCTCCTGCGGGTGGTGGGTCCACAGTTGGATGAGCCCATGTATCCAGTTCGGGCTGGGCCCGGCCGGCCACAAGGCGCTCGCTCGCTCGCGGGCCCCAACCCCAGGCCTGGCTCCAGGGTGGGATCCCGGTAACCCTCCGGACCGGGTACTCCGACTCTTTGAATTTACTACCATGAAAGATCCTGTGAACAGTTCTTTGTCTAACCCTTCACCTAAGACCAATTTGTCATGGGAGACCCTACCAGGGGCACAAAGTGCCCCAGACAACATAGCTCCTAGGATCATTAGGGCACTCAAACTCCTCCACCACGATAAGGTGACGGTTCAAGGAGTTTAAATACATTAACATAAAATTTAAATGATTTTTATTCATTTAATAATGGAAAGAAAATAAATATAAGGAAAAAATTTAAAAATAGCTTACAATTGGATTGCAATGGTCAAAATAATATGGAAATTAAAATAAGTAAACTGACTTTAATACATTTTAGAACTCTACCAACCTTTCTAAAGGCTAATAGGACCAAAAAACAAACAAAAAATACCATAAAAACTAATTTAGATGATTTGATTAAACTGTTTAAAAATAACAAATAATAATGTATTGATGTAAAGAAATAAATAAACTTGTCAAATATGTTTATTACTAAACTAACATGAATAAATGAATAAAAAAGAAAGAAATAACGTGATGAAAACATTTCCTCAAACTAATGTTAAGTTAAAAAATAAAACCTTATAACCAGTGATAACCCGCTCCCGTTATTTCTTTATATTTGACTTTCATATTGTCTCTGTGCATCTGCGTACCAGATCATCGAGAAAAATTATGCCCGCTCGCTGGGTTTGCTGTCTGAGAGGCTGGAGCAATCAGAAAATGGAACAGATGAAACGGGTTTCTCCGAGTCAAGAAACCACCCTGAAGTGGTCATGTACTGGTCTTTGTCAGTGGCCATCTTCTCCATCGGTGGCATGGTGTCCTCCTTCCTGGTGGGATTTGTGGGAGACCTGAGAGGGAGGTGAGAAAATAAGAAACACCGAGATCATAAAAAGAAAGCAAGGTTAGTACAACTGCTATTGAATTTCCTGTTGTGCAGGGTGAAGGGAATGCTGATGGTCAATGTTCTGGCTGTAGTCGCTGGACTGTTGATGGGTCTCTGCAGGATATGGAAGCCCCACATCATGGTCATATCAGGCCGTGCAGTCATGGGCTTCTATTGTGGTACATTGAAACAACTTAAAAAACTTCAATCTATGCATGAAATCATTAAGATATGGTCATATTTGTGCACATAATGTCTTAATATTTCACCATGTGTGTATTTCAGGGTTGACGTCTGGATTAGTGCCTATGTACATTGGAGAGATTGCACCCAAAGCGTACAGAGGAGCTCTAGGAACCTTACACCAGCTGGCCATTGTTATTGGTATCTTAATCAGCCAGGTGAGTCACTTGGTCGTTTATACTGTCTAAAACATGCTGAGCATGTAATCTGAACCAAAATGTGCTTGTTTGTAGGTAATAGGCTTGGACTTTGTACTTGGTAATGATGCAATGTGGCCGCTGCTGCTTGGTCTGTCTGGAGCCCCTGCAATCCTACAATCCCTACTGCTTCCTTTTTGTCCCGAGAGCCCGCGCTATCTTTACATTTTGTTGGGAAAAGAGCAAGAGGCTCGAAAAAGTAAGAACAACACATACAAACGTTTGTCCATATTATAGAAAACTTCACTTTTCTCAGGAATTTAGAGAAATAAAATGATGTAACTGCACAGCTTTAAAGGGGACATAGTATGCAAAATGTAGCTTTTGCATCTGCTTATGCTCCCATGCGGGTCTCTACTGCTGCTACAAACACTCCAGATTTGAAAATAATCCATCCTTCCATTTTCTTTCAGTGTTTGGTTTTAAGAATAATTTGCCTAAAACAAGTAGTTCCCAAAAGACCCCATTTGTGATGTCACAAATGGTGAAAGTAGCATAAAAATACTTTTCACGTGCTGCTGGAGGAGCAGCAGCTCTAACAGAGCCCCTCCTGGTAACCAGAGCTTCTCAGCTTACAGGCACATTACATTATACACTTGAGCTTTATTGAAGAAGCACTACCACAGTAAATTGTTGTTTTTCAAAGTTCGCGTCCACCTTAATGACATGTAATTAAAATTTCCAAAGCTTAGGATTTTTTTTCCCCTGATTGCTTTCATTGTGTGTTTCTATGCAGGCCTGCATCGTCTAAAGGGGGCATATGATCCAACTCCTGATCTGGAAGAAATGAAAAGAGAAAAAGATGAGGCAGATAAGGAACCCAGAGTTTCCATCCTGTCTTTGGTAGGTCTCTACAAGAATAAAATTGCGCTCAAGTATTACTATAGCTGGCTTAAAACTCAAAAAGAGTACACAAATAAATGTTAATATTTCTTTCACACTTTGCCAATATGATCCTATTTTGTGTTCCCCCCTGAATGATGTGCACTTCTGCTCACTGTAAAGTTATAACTTGTTGTGTTTTGAAAACAAATCAGAACAAGAAAAGACGGCAGGATAAGGGCAAAACACAATGACATGGAACAAAAATTATTCCATGATATCTTTTTGCAAAAGTCAGTGACATTTCTCTCTACACTTTTATTTTCAAATATGAACGCTACAGGCTCCAGCAGCAGCTCTTTTCTACTTTAGTAGCAGCGCTGCCTGTCCATGCTTAGTTCATGTAACTGATCAACCAAGCAAAAAGGAACATTAAGATAATGTGTTTAGAAATAATTAGCTGATGTACTTTTATTCCCAAATAGGCCTAAATATGTTTGCGATGCCCTTTGTTGATTCCAGCTTGATTAAAGTAATTTTTATCTTTGCATTTTGATGCTTGTAAGTTTTAAACACCACTAAACAGCACAGTTCTTTAAAATGTGAACTCAGGATGCAAAATTTACCTAAATATTTGTGATTATGATTTAATTTGGTTGTAAAATTGTTCTTAAATATATTTAGAACAACTTTAAATACTAAACAGTTTTTTGGGGGCCTGTTTGAAACAATCCAAGCCAGCCTTCTAAACACTGTTCCTGGAAGTAAATAAACACACCCTCTGAGTAAGAATAGTCAGCAACTAAACTGCACTCGTAATCTTTTTATGAGTCATAAATCTTTAGTTTATTGGAAGATATTGAAAACACTCTTTAAGAAATATGTTTTATAGACGATTATAAGGTCCTTTTAATCTTGAATCCTTTTACATGCATATGAAAGGTAACAGCAGAATTAGACTTTTAGGTGCAAAATTTTTGATCATTTGAATAAAATCCACTCTTGCATAAACAATTATGACAATTCTCTATTGCATTTCTTGTTTTCTCGTTGACTTAAATTGTAAATTGTATTCTATCATCCAGTTTTATCTTGAAGTATTCCCTTTGCACACCTGTGTTAGTATTGCTCCCTGCTTTTCTATTTCTACACACCGAGCTGAATCAGCGAATTAATCAGTATTGAATTATCAGTTTTTTATTTTTATCCTCGTCTTTTATACATTACCCTTGCTTATTCCTTTGTTTTTGACGGATGACCACTTTTGTGGACTTTTGAACTGGGATGGGTTCCGCTGGTGTGTTGCGTTTGCCTCGCTAATTGCACTAGTTTAGTCTGGAACTCAAGTTTGTCCTGTGTCCCAGTCCTTCCTCTCCTCTGGAAAACATCACAAGAAATAATGTGCATTAGAAGTTTGATAAAAATGTGCTCTCCCATACTCTCTCCAAGATCTTCTCCTCTGTGTATAGACAGCAGCTGTTTGTTGCCCTTATGATGCACCTCTCCCAACAGCTTTCTGGCATTAATGCAGTAAGTGGAAAGTTTTTGTTTAATGCCAACATATTATATTTTTGAGTCACTGTAACTGGAAAATAAAAACAAAGAAATGCAAATGTAGCTTTCTAATTTTCTTGTGCTTTTGTGTCCAAGATCTTTTATTACTCCACAGCCATCTTTGCACAAGCTGGTGTCAGTCAGCCCGTCTATGCAACTATAGGAGTCGGTGTCATTAACACGGTTTTTACTCTTGTCTCTGTGAGTTTCTGTACATCCACACTCAGTAAACAATTAAGTTTGTAAAACTACACAGCTGGCTGCATTGGGTGTTTCAGGTGGCACTTGTGGACAAAGCTGGACGACGTACTTTGTCTCTGGTGGGTTTGGGAGGCATGTGCTGCTGTGCAGTTGCCATGACAGTGGGTCTCAAACTCCAGGTTTGTTCCATTTAAATTAAAATAGTGCTGAATAATCAACAAATATAAAGAGAAGAAAAAGGCCTGATTTTAGCATCCTATGCATTCAAATGATCTATGTGTAGGATCAAATTTATGTTTGATTCTGACAAAAATGTGTTTACTGGTTCCACCTGACATTACATGAATAAATAACCATAAGGCCACTGTTTGTACCCTGAACACTTGTGCACCACTTTATGTTTTGAACTCAGTGCTATCTGTTTCCCATGGCTCCTCTATTTCCTTCAGAATGACTTCTCATGGATGAGCTACGTCAGCATGTCCGCTATCTTCCTATTTGTGAGCTTCTTTGAAATTGGTCCAGGTCCAATCCCATGGTTCATAGTGGCTGAGCTTTTCAGCCAGGGACCTCGACCTGCAGCCATCGCTCTCGCAGGCTGCTGCAACTGGACCAGTAACTTCATCATAGCTATGACATTTCCTTACATACAGGTATGAGGACTGGATTATCACATCTAGCGTTCACTTGCAGGAAAATTAAATCAGATTTTTTTGTTTGTTTTATGATTTCTCACCAGGTTTGGTTGGATTGTTACGTTTTCATCCTGTTTGCCATTTTGCTTTTCGTCTTTACCCTGTTTATTTATCTCCGTGTCCCCGAGACCAAGGGCAAAACCTTTAAGGAGATCGCTGCTGTCTTCCAGAAGAAACCTGGGACTCCCAAAGACAATGCTGAACTGCAGCAGCTCAAAACCTCCACAGATGCTTAAATTTGTATTAACCCAATTCAAAGTGGAACGTTTGACACTTCTGACTGAAATAACAACTATTTGTATTGTAATGTTTACACTGAATCAAAAATTCAAACTTGTATTGCAGTATTATCCGTTAAAAATTAATAAAAAAATAATGTTTTATAACAACAACAAATTAGAAGATGACATATCTGTGACCCTCACGGCACCACTGAGACACATTTAACAATCAACGGCAACATTGATCCGACAGTTTTCCTCTCCACTGTCGCTTTATGCTTGCTTGGTATGAGGATTGCTGTATAGTCACTGACACTAGTCAGTGACTTGATGCAATTTGCTGGGTTCCTTATACAGGAAACATTATTTCTGATTGGCTTAATGAACTGACCTGAATTGGAATTTTTATTATGTGAAGTGCCTTGAGACGACTCTTGTCGTGATTTGGCGCTATATAAATAAACTTGAATTGAATTGAATTTCACCTAACAGTCAAACATGTAAAAATAATCTCAAAGAACATTTTTATATTTATAAAAAGAAAAAAAAAACATTTTAAACAAGGGTGGACCATCTGACATACCAGGCACTTCCTAGTAGGCGGTTGCCCAAGGTGGGCCTGTCTGTGTTTGTGTTAATTTCATTGTGGAAAACAATTTTGGATACAAAAACAATCACCACTGATAGAAAGCTATATCCAAAGTATACACGATATGAGTTATACATCTAGATATTTTTTTCGTTCAAATTTCCACATTTTGCAAAGTGGAGGACCTCGATGACTTTGAACAGTTTGGAGCAGGGAACACATTTCGACACAACACCTGCCCTCCCTTTCGCCCCCTCCTTCTGTGATAAAGGAAACTCCACGCATGCGAAGTGACTCTTCTCTTTCTGCATAAGCAAGACACAAGGTAAGCTAAACCGACACTAAAAGTAACATTTTGGACCAAACGTGTCGCGCTGAATAACACGTTTATTTATGTTTTTGAAGCGCCGTAGCTAATGTGTAATAACAGGCGGGGTTTCACCCAGGGTGGTGAAGTATATTTGGAAGTAGTGAGTCCATGTTTAGCTGGATAAAACATGACGGGCTGCTTTAGCTGACATTCGCGGCCAGTTTAATTGATGCTCGCGGCGTTAGCGAGCTAACTGGACTAGCTTGTCCAGAAATAGGAACGAAAACTGGAAGCTGAGGCTAGCTGAGTGGGTTAAAGCTGCCGTGTCATATGCTCATCTGGCCCGACTGCCACGTAGTTAATGGGCTTAGCTCTCTACTCTGCCTAGCCTCTGTTAGCTAAACTGAGCCTTTGTTTGAACTGCTCTTCCCAAAAGCTGGTAGCTAGCATGTAAAACACTTTTAGCATTGTTCCACAAGCAATGTGCTAAATAAAACTGACAAGTCAGCATCTCAAAGTGCAGACAAATGTGATCCATTAGCAAGCAACTTTAGCTGTTAGCGTTCGGAGTGCAGGAGGTTGCACCATCTAGGTACAGACATTTGGATTGTTAAAAGGTAACATGTTTGGTATGAATAATATTTTAAGATAACATCTTAACCACTAGTGTCCTAAAGACAAATATAAGTGTAAAAATTCTGTCAAGTCACAGCTCTTGTGTTTTTTATTTATGGTTTTATTTTAAATATCTAACATTAATAAAACCAATGTGTGTTCTATGTAAACAAAAACTGGATAATTTACAGAAAAACAATATGAATTCACTTAGTTATTTTTTTTTTCATTTTGTCTATCTCACTGGTTAACTTTCTTTTTAAAAAGTAATAAAATGTCTGATTTGAAGTGAAAGAATAGGTTGAAAATATTAGTTTTTAGGCACCAACTCAAGGTGTGGTCCAAGGCAGTATGTGTTGAGTCACACCTCCAGTGAATGTGGACATACCGGTTTACACCACTAGAGACAACTCATTGGACACTCAGAAAGTAGCAGGACTAGTTTTTCCTCACTTTTAACTTTTTTGCTCTTCTACTTGCATGGGTTGGACAGAGCAACTCGGGGTCCACAATGGCCGATGATGACTTCTCCACCGCAGATGCTGGCGCCTCAGCAACTTACCCCATGCAGTGCTCTGCACTGAGGAAGAACGGCTTCGTTATGCTGAAAGGACGTCCCTGTAAGATAGTTGACATGACTACCTCAAAAACTGGCAAGCACGGGCATGCCAAGGTAACATCTACTTATGCATCCTTTGGGATTTAGAGCCAAAGGCCCTTCTGTAATTTAGCCTGGTGTTTCCCAGTTTTTTTATTTTTTTTTATACGTAATCCTAAACTCTCTTTGGTCTCCAGGCTGGATCTAATGAGCTTATTTATATTCCCAGGTGCACCTCACTGGACTTGACATCTTCACTCAGAAGAAGTATGAAGATATCTGCCCATCTACCCATAACATGGATGTTCCAAATGTGACAAGGAAAGACTACCAGGTGAGATTATTGCTATTCAGAAATGCATAAAATGAGTTCCGAAAAAACATGATGGTCGTGAAACTAAGAATATCTAAACTCTACAAGCAGAGGAAAATTCCCCATCATCCTGTTTATTCTTAGCTTGTCTGCAGCACTATGGAGCAGAACCACTGCAGTCAGGTTGCTGCTTCAAGTCTGCTCTGCTCAATACCGCTGCAGGATTATGGCAAGCCACTGTAGCATTTAATTCACAAACGCATCCATCTTTGAACATAATTGAAATTGGATTATTGCTAACCCGTACATAGTGGACATTAGGGCTGCAACAACGAATTGATAAAATTCGATGAAATGTGTTGGCAATGCTTTTCTTCATTGATTTGTTGTGTTGCGCAACTTCTTTTTTTTTGTGTGTTGTGCAACCTTTAAGCAACCCGTCAATGTGCGCAGCTCATCTGATGCAGCAGCAGAGCAGACCGAGGCAGATTAGAATGAGACACACATGTCACACATGTAATTATTAGATGCCTTTTACCGGCACACACTGTGCTGATTTATGTGCTGTGGAGGAAAACAGAGAAACCAGCAAAGACACAGAGGCAGAAACAGTTCAAAGTTTGGTCTCAAAAGTGTAACTACAAGCAGATTAGCTAATGCTAGCAGGTAGCAGGCTCACGATCAAGTGGGCTCCAAAAAAAAAAACATGATGGTTGTGAAACTAAGAATATCTAAAGTCTGCGAGTGGAAGAAGAGTCCCCATCATCCTGTTCATTAGCTGTCTGCAGCGCTACGAAGCAGAACCAGCGCCGCTGCAGACAGATTACTGCTTCAAGTCTGCTCTGCCCAACGCCGCTGAAGGATACGGCAAGCCACTGTAACATTTAATTCACAAACTCGTCTGTGAACATAATTTAAACTGGATGATTATTAACCCCGTACATAATAGACATGTCACCAATACATTTTTAGCAGTAGAAACTAAATGTTATTAACATTTCCAGTAGCTACTACTGAACATGTTAACGAAATACATTACATTTACTGATCATATTTTAATTAAGATTATATTTAGATGATGGCATGTTTTTTTGCATGCTATTGAACTGTTTTCTTATCATGTTTTGTTGTAAAATAAAGGAAGGAGAGAAAAATATGCGTCCCTAGCAGTTTTAAAAATATCCTGTTTAACCCGATTACCGTATTTTCCGGACTATAAGTCGCACTTTTTTCATAGTCTGACTGGTCCTGCGACTTATACTCCGGAGCGACTTATATACCAAATTATGTATACCGCGCTGCCGTGGACCGGCTCCCGACCAGGAATAAGCTCTGCCCCGCCATCCCCTGCTGGAGACCGTGGCGAGCTGCTGCGGGCCAGGCGGCTCCGACCCAGGAATGAGCTCCCCTGTCCCGCTGGGAGGGTTTCAAACACCGCCATCACCTGCTGCAGCCTGTGGTGGGGTGCTGCGGGCTGGCCCAGGAATGAGCTTGCAATGTGAAATGCTTGGTCTCAGATTTTGTGAGAAAAATAATAAAATTTCCCCCCAAAATGCGACTTGTAGTCCAGTGCGACTTACATATGTTTTTTTCTTCTTCATTATACATTTTATGGCTGGAGCGACTTATACTCCGGAAAATATGGTAATCGAGTCGAGACCCCATCAGATTCATCGATGATCCCAAAAATCGTTTGTTGCAGCCCTATTGCTGACCAGCTTTAAGGCTCAAGTGATCTTTGCAATCTAGAGAAAGAGTTTTATGGTCCTTTGGTGCTGGATTTAAAGTCTTTGCATTGGGTTTCCCTTTGTCTTGTTGTTTTGATTATTTGCCTGATGTTAGATAATCGATGTGTCCGATGGTTTCCTGGCCCTGATGGATGATAATGGAGAAACCAGGGAGGACCTTAAGGTGCCAGATGGCGACTTGGGCAAAGAAATTGAGAAGAAATTCAGCGGTGGAGAACAGTTTATGGTACGTTTTATGTGTTTGTGGAAGAGAATAATCAGCATGCTGGTATCAGCTGGTAAACGTTGATTTAACCTATTGGAAACCTTTTCCAATCATGTTAGATTTTCAAACTGTCTTACCTACAAAACTATTAAATGATTGTTGCTTTTATTTCTACTTTCCAATGTCAGGTTTCTGTGTTGAAAGCTGTAGATGAAGAGCATGTAGTTGGCACCAAGAACATGACTTCTTAATGAGCCCCAGGACAGCGTTGGAGACCTCATCTTCCTATTGTCCTTTATGGTTTTGAAGCTTCACCAAAGCTACTGGCCTTCACCCCACATTTCCGCCTGTGCCCCTGCTGTCAGCTGTAATCTGGAAACTGGACTTGGTCAGCTTCAACTTTACCTCAGACTCAGGCCAGAATTCTCCTCGGTCAGTCCAGACATCCAGCCATAGCTTTCCTTTTACAACCACACTCTGGTATTATTTCACATTTCTGATCATGTTCCAGCAACACATTGCATTCCAATCAGAATGGAGATTTGTGTTTTGGGTGCGTTGTGTAGAAAATATTAAAATAACTTCCAAATTTGATTGTAATTTCAACAAAATGGATTTGGATGGCGTTGCATCTCCACTCAAGCATGATCCCCACGTGGTTCACCGCTCTGAGAATGCATGTACATTGCATATGACATTATTAGCCGGACCATGCCTTTGCGCCTCTGATGACACATCCATCCATCCAAGTGCACAGCTCATGCCTTAGCAGGCATGTATTTATGTAAACAGCATTTTATTTACTCTTCACTTAGACTGCAGATCTGCAGGCGAGTTTTCTACTGCATGTAGCCAGGTCTCAACGGTTCGTCTTCGCTAGCTGACGACTCGGCTGTCTCAGCTGCCTAACAGGCTATGGGACAGAGAATGACGGGTGGGGCCATTTCCTCTTCTATGCTATGAAACTTTATTTTCACTTGAGGCCTTTACAAGCTGACAATAGAGATATTATTTTGAAAGAACTAAAAAAAAAATGTAGAAACTTTTTATGTTGTAATCTCATTATGTTTTAGTTTAGTGGGAACAAATATACATGCTTGAAGCTAAAGTTGCAGCAGCAGAGGGAAAGTGGTGACAAGAACCCTGTTAAGCTTTGTATAACGGAACCAAACTTTAGGGGCAGCAACAGAAGTCGGCGGGTTTGTTACGGCCCAACACTTTTTATCTTATTTTATTTTACAAACGTATGAGATATTTAAGGTTTAGGGGCAAAAATTGCACACAATAATATAGAATTGTAATGTTCAATGATTTCACAAAGTATTGCAAACATTTTACTCATAATATTAGGAGAACGCTGAGAGATGCATCTACATGCTTTGCATTCATATGGTTGTTCTAGAACTTGCAATTATAAGCATGTTGCCCCCCCCCCCACCTCCTACCTACCATACATAGTGAATGTTCCTATGAACATGTTCTAATTGTATTTACATCATATTTAAAGCACTGCATCTTAAATTTTTTTTGTCATTGTTAATTGTTCTAATGGGAACTTTTGGTCTTAGTGAAGAAGCAAGGCTCTTTAAGAATACATGTGTTGTTTAGAAGATACTAATTACTGCCATTCAGCTGCAAGAATGACACACTTAGACTAATCAGAAAGTTATTCAGTCGCAATGAATGGAAAAAAGCAATACTTTTAATGAATGAACCTGTGTTCTTGCAAAAAAAGGCTGTTAAAAGCTCAGAAAAGACGTTTTGAAACTGGTTTCTGTAGCAGAATCCATCGTTTCCTTACGAGTAAGGACAATGTTTACATGATGTTTATGCTTAAAGTTGGTTTTAAACAGATTTCCTAGTTGTGTGTAAACACAGATTGTTACTTTGACATGTGAAGATGTTCTGTTCAGTGTGCAACAGCAGCCGGTCTGTTTTTTTTTTTTTGGGGGGGGGGGGGGGGGGCGCTCATCATCCCTCAAGTATTTAAAAAAAATCTGTTAAGACACAGATGATTTCCACTTGTGTCTTGCATCTTTTCTTTTCCTTTTTTTGTCATTCCAGTATTGTTCAGAGTGATGTTTTTAACCACCGTGAGAAAAGCTACTTTTAAAATAACTGCAAACATGTCAGAAAACTGAAAATAGAAGGTGAAGCCATATGACTGTATTCCAAACCCTTCAGAAGCAGTGTAGTAGAAACCCGTCTTTCATCATCACTAGGCTTTGTGAGGCAGACATGCATGTCAAAACCAAGCGCCTAGTTTTAACTTCATAAGAAAGTACTTATAGCGCTTCAAAGCTTCACTCTAACTAAAGAGTAATACGTGTAAAGAATGTGCCGGAGAACCCGTTGTTTCCGGAACTTATCTTTTTGCTAAATAAATAAATCTGTGCAGATGTTAATCAACCTCATGTTAGCATTCCACTTTTCTGTTGTTTTTATATATATTGCATTCATGTGCCTGTAATAAAACATTTTGCCACCTTAAAAACAATATTATATATATAGAATTACTAATTAATTTCTGCTCTTTAAGGCTTCTTTGCTCAACTCTTACAAAAAGAGCGTCTTCCTTAATAATTGTTTGTCCTTAAATCCCTTTGTCCTCCGTTTTTAGTTATGCTGCTCGCTCATTTCTGCTGTTAGTTTTAATTCGAGGCATGCTTACAGTGTAATGAAGGGGTGTCCAGACATTTTAAAGGGACAAAATGAAAGTCCTCTTGTGCCACAAAAACTAGATTAACGCAAACATTACTTTATGGTAATTTTTAATATTTGTTCTGCGGAAAATTAGGAGTCATATCACTAAAAGCAAATCACTCTGAGAGCCGCACTTTGGACGTGCCTGGTGTAAGGTATTGACTTTTTCCCTACAAGATCTGATCCTAGATCAGATCTTATAGGGAAAACTGATCAGTGTTCTACATTGAGTAGATGAGTTGTTTTAAGTGTTACCAGTGAGGATGGCAAGTTTTGTTGTTAATTGGTCTGCGTTCTTATGGTTTTGGAAAAAAATGTTGTTACTTTCTTAAAGATGTTTCACTTTCAACAGGGCTATTTCTTTCTTTTTATTGCAACAGTTAGTCGTGTGTTTGTATGCTGAGACCATCGGCGTAGGCTACAGTCAAATCAAATACTACATGGTCTTAGATTCTGTAGGTTCTTAAAGTGGTTTTCATCACAAGTGTCTTTTCTGTTTTGGTTTTCAGGAGGGAATGCGATTTTTCGTTTCCACTTGATTTTTAGGATGTTAGACGCATATTTTATCAGTTCTAACTGATTTGTAACAACTTTCCTAAAAACGACTATTTGTTTTGTTTTCTTTGTGTTTTGCAAAATAAAGTTCATTCAGATGTGACCGGCTACAAGTAATTGCAAATCCTTTTTTTTCCTAATTTATTTATTTTTACACATCCCCTAATTAAAGATGATTATTTTTAGTTCAAAATGTTATTTTTTTAGGTTGATGTTTAAAGAGCAAGTCACCCCCTACCACAGTCCTACTCCACTCCCGCTTCTTGTTTGACAAAGGCAACAAATGCTGTTGCCTGGCAGACTGAAAGGGTGGAGCCACAAAACACACACACACACAGGCTCACAATGACATTGTGACATCATAATGTACAAGCTAACATCATAATGTACCTCTAAGCCAATGGCGATGGCATATTTAAATTCAAATGCTGTGCAGAGTTTTTACCTGACAAGGGCACAACACTTGACAGTTTTAGGCAGAATATTTAAATTTTAACTAAGATGCACTAAAGTGCAAACTTATTGACTACATGTGTCTGCAGCATGGTTAGACATTCATTTATATAGTTAATCAGCAAAAAAAAAAGTTGATTTGGGGGTGACTTGCTCTTTAAGGAACTGACACTTATAATTGGTAATTCATTTTTGACTTATCTATGAAAACTAGAGTTAAAAAATAAACAGCTTTTTCTGGAAAGGAATTTTTTAACCCTTTGATGCATAATGGTCACTACAGTGGACAGGTACTCCAAATTATTTGTTTTTGCGATTAAGCACAGCTGTTGAAGACTTTATTGCATTTGAGCCCCTCCATTTGGACTTCAGCAAGTCAAGCCAACATATTTCATTTTCAGAATGCATGCTGTCCACTGAGGTGGACGTGTAATAAACTATGTATAAATTAAATGTTGCAAAAAATATGTAAATATGAAATTTGTTTCATTCACACCTAAAGATGAATCAAAAAAATTGTTTAAAAAATCATGGATGAAGATTTCATAATTCATGCATCAAAGGGTTAAATTAAACGTTAATAAATTACACTGTATTAGCTTCATTTAACAAACAAAAGTGGGAGATTGTTTTCAGTGTCTTGATTTTAGGAACAATTCACTGGAGTCTAAACATTTAGATCTGGAAACGGGCTGTTCTGGTGATAAGTGTGAAGGCTAAACTTGTTCAAAGACTAATCTAACTCAAACTATTTAGGCACAGCTGAAGGAATTTATTAGCAAAATCTTAGTAAAATAATCAGGGAATCAATTTAACCTGGATTTATGGAAAGTAGGGCTCCCTTTGGCAAAGATGGGTCAGTGTTAAAAGTGCTATATATTTAAACAACATTCTGCTCTTCCTTAATAAACAGAATAACTGGGTTATTGCTTAATTTGGATTACTTGGATGAAAAAAAATGAAGTCCCATTTAAATTATCTGAGATTTTGAATGATTTGTTTCCATTCAACAAAACTTCAAACGTTTGTATAAATAGAAGAAAACAATTTGGAGCACAGCATTCTACTTAAAGCAATTAATATCCCATAAATGTTGGTTTTAGATCGTCCAACACACTCTTCATTTGTTGGCTTTCATGACTGACTTATTTTACAGACTTGACACAAGGCACACAAATAATTTAATATTCTTGGAGGACATTCCCTCAGATGTACAGTAGATGGCAGTATATCATCACTGATACTGAACTGTGTTTATTCAGAACGTTGGATGACAGTGTTCAAACTGTTTAACTGTACAACAAGCAATAGGGGATCTAAATAAAGATATAAAGTGTTTAAAGTTGTGTGCAGCAATAGTGTAATTGTATTATACTTCGTTGTCGTAGAGAAGCCAGTAGAATACTTTATGAAATACCTTGTCCAGCGTTTGGACTTTTTAGGGTTGGGATTGCGGGGTGAGCTCTCGAGGCTTGGGGTTGTCCCTCAAGGCTGGTCTGTATTGGTGGGGGTGACAGTGTGCTGGGCTGGGCTGGGGGGTCTAAGTGTAGTAAGCCCCGATGGGTTTCCTTTGGCTGGGTGCTGGTGCCTTGATGTCTTCTGGCTAACGCCCCCTGTTGGTGGGTCCTGGGCTGCATTTACATTTAAAAACAAAACAACACTGTTAGTGACAAATCCATGTTCAACCCCCCCCCCCCCCCCACCCCCACCCCACACACACACACACACACAGTAAATGCCATTGCAAATATGGACAATACTGTTTAACAATTCCTATTCAATTTATTTTTGTAGATTATATATATATATATATTATACTGTTCTGCCTAAGTGCTTGTTGTCTATTTGTTGTGTACTGTTGTTCCTCCATTTCCCCCTCCCTGTATGTCTTGTTTCTCCT